CCAAACTCAGAAGGCTCTATGTACCAGACATTAACAAACGATGTCACAGCATCTTTCAGCAACTCTTGCAGCATTCCCCTTCTCTTTGCAACTTCCTCTTTGGCCTGAGCTCGATCAGCTTCACTTTCTACTATTTCTGCTTCTATACGCCTTTGTTCTTCCACTTGTCTTTCCCTTTCAGCTTTCCGTCTCATAACTTCTTCCTGTTCCTTGCGTTTCTCTTCAAGCAAGAAATTTTCAAAATCGAATCCATCCATTCCACCCTCCACAGTTATGCAGAAATCTTGCTCGTCATTGTTTTCATAGACGTCATTCCCATTATAGAACACAAAATCAATTTTGTAAGCTTCCCTAGGAACATAGACCTTGCAAGACCACCAATCCCCGTTTAACTGGGTCTTGCTCAAGTTAATGGCAAATGATTTCCACTTCCAGTCATTAAAAGCTCCCATGATAATAACATCTGGCTCAAATTTCAAAGTGGAGAAACTTCTGTTGAAAAATATTTCTATATCTTGATCGGGTTCTACAATTTCGGGGTAATAAAATAATTTGTGCCCTTTCCTGAAATTATCGCTGGCAAGCCTATCCAATGCCTCTTTACGTAAAATTTCTTCCGACTCCAGTTTTAGCTTCAGAAAATTATCTGCCTTCTTTTTATCCTCACTAATTGAGTTATAACCTTCATCAACTCCTTCTGGCTTCACAGATGGACGTTTATGGAAATCATCAACAGAGTTGATGCTTTCAACCTTATCTACAGTCTTCGATATAGTCTCATTTCTTGAATCTGTTTCTCTTGATGCATTATTTCCAACTTTAGAGATATCTATTTCTTCTACAGACTCCTCTTTCTCGATGTTCTCCCCCCCTCCATCTTCACTGCTTTTAGTATATATCTGTTTTTCTTCAATAACTCTCCCATATACTGAAACATCAATATCCCCAGATACTAACGCCTTCTCCTGCAAATCATCAATCCTGATGTTTTTATTCCATCTAGTCTCTTTATCTTTTACCGTATCAAGCACCATATTTACATTAAGTAATCTACCTGCATTATTACTGACCTCACTCTCGGTGATTCCTTTGGCATCTTTTGATTCCACTATGATTCGCTCGTCCACTTCAGGCATTCGCACAGTTTCTTCAAATTGACTTATTTTATCCTCGTCAAATAACGATTCACTGGTTGATGCAACCCCTAGGCCAATGCCATCACTTTCCGCCTCTGCTTTTGCTACAACTAGATTAACGCCCGATACCTCTTCCTCATCAGATCCAGTTTTTAATTGAGGTGTTTCAGTATTAGAACCCGGAATTGTAAACTCCGGGGCTGGTGAAGGGCCTGTACCTTTCTTTTTTTCGTTGTTCTTCTGACCCCTTCGCTGGATGCTTGTTGTAGGGACCTGAGTTCTTGGTGTAAATCCCCTAGGTGTAGAATCATTAGACCTTGGTGTGGAAATTCTCCTCGGCCTCCTTCTTGAAAAGTCTACATGACATAAATATACAAATAATATAGAATTGGGTTTTCTGTTATTGTGAATTTATTAATTACCTATCAATTAAAGCAACCAACCCGCACTTGCAGTGATTCGATATGTAATGTTGGCTGCCACGTGATCCCTTTTCCAGTTGAAAGACTGCAATGATGTTCTAAAGTGTAAGAAAAAGTTCCAATCCCACCACAGTTTGCACACACATCCAACATCAGTACAGAAATCGAAACACATGTAAGAGCCAATTTGTCAAGCATCATCCGAGCAATTTATTACCAATAAAATACATCAATTGTTTGACTAGCTCCCATGCAACATGATTCAGAATTCAAGCTACCGGATGAAAAGAAAAAGAAAAGCACAAACGAGCAAATCAACTCGAACCAAATCAGAAATCCCAAAATGTTCGCTATTTGCTTGGGGTGACAAAATTTAGAAATCGGAGTACCAACGTAAAATTGGAAAATCAGTCCAACAAAAGGAACCAAAAATACCGAAGTGTTGTTCGTTGAACAACTGGCTGATCCACCATTTAAACCCACCCACCATGCATACTAATAATTCCGTTCGAAACAAAGATAATTAAAAAAAAAAAAAAAAATCATAATTCGTTAAACAAACACAAAACGCACACAAAGCGACACAGAGTTGTGAGGTGATGAATTACTTGTGTGGGCAAAAATCCGAGAAACGGCTTGATCCTGAACTGTGTTCTCTCGGAGAACACTGTTCTGCAACTCGGAGATCTTTGAAGCGGCAAAGTGACCTCCATCTTTTTGTTAATGCCTGAACAAATCAATGAAATTGAAACGAGGGTTCAATTTCCAATTCTCACCAGAATTTCACTCAGAAACATCACCTCGGATCCCCCTCTCTCTCTCTCTCTCTCTCTCTCTCTCTCTCTCTCTCTCTCTCCTCTCTTTCTTTCTCTCTCTAAAACACTCTAAAATACAGAGAAAAGGATGTATCGAAAATTGAGGCGGGCAGTGCGAAAGAGTTGTTCTATGATGTTCTGATAACTTCGTATACAGCCCACAACAATCTCAACCATAAATTCTTTTTTTTTTCTCTCTTTTTTCTTTTTTATAAAATTTTAAAAAAATATTATGTGTGGAGTATCATATGATATGATATCGAGATTGCTTTGACTTCCGTTGACCTTGGTGACGTGGAAATTATAAAGGCGGTGATTGGGTGCCAGTTTGGCAGGAGATTACCCTTTTTATTTTCCAACAAGGAAATAAAATAATAAAGCAAGATCCCCAATGATTGCCACGTGGATCAAGTACAACGGATAAGCTGGCCCCGTAAAGAGGTGCGGTGTGGGCTTAGCATGTCGATGAACGGATGGCAAATCTACGCAAAGCTATCTTTTTGTAAACAATAAAGCAAGTACATATCATTAATTATTGAAAAGGAAAATATGACTTTCTTTTATATTATGTTATGGTAATTACGTACAAACTTAATGTCCATATGGAATAAACAAACTAATGTTAATTTTATTTGATATGTCTAATTGGATTAATCCAATGTACTTACAATTTTTTTGTCTATTGGGTCATGAACCCAATTTAGAAGATCATCTACAAACTAGATTTTGGGCCAACAAATTAACTTCAGCCCAATCAACAAGTATAAATAAAGATTTAATTCATTTGTTAAAAGTTATATTCTATTATTCAAGAAATTCTACTGTTCGTATTCTCTCGACTATTTTTATTATCCGCACTTTTGACTCGAGCATCGGAGGGGTCTCCGCCCGATCAACCATCGGCTTAGTTTACGTGTACTCTGTTTGCAGGAGTCTCAAAACCATGTAGCTCGTGAGTCAGTGACCTACGTTGCTCTTCCAGCTCATCCTACTGCATGTTTGTAACTACTACATGTGATCTAATTTTAACATCACCATTATTGTAATTCCATTGGCAATTGTCGCTACATCAAACTTATCACATATGATTGATCTAGTGTGATTTACGTCTCTCGTATAATTTTCAAGTTTTTTTTTTTGAGCAAGATTTGCAAGTTACTATAAAATTATTATATGAGAGTGTAGAGTTCAAGATCGAAGAGAAGCATCAAAGAAAAATGGAAAAAAAATAAGTGAAAAAAGAGCTGAGGATTTTCCATTGGTAAATGATAGGTGCCAACTCTCCCAATAAGCGTTGATTAAAAAAAACCAAATAAAAAGAAAGAGCCTAGAGAAAAAGAGGAGGCCCATGGCCAGAAAAGGCCCAACGCGACGGCCCAAAACAATTAATTGAAAGTTGAAAATCGGACGCGCCTCTTCACTTTAGCCGCCACTTACCATTTTCCCGCCTCCCAATCCCCTATTTAAAAACCCTATCCCCCCACTACCACTCACCCTCACCACCCCCACTCCTCTCTCTCTCTCTCTAGGGCTTCAGCAATTCATTTCCTCTCTCTAAAACAACCCTTCGCCATTTCACCACCATGAAATCCAGAGTTCAAAGCAGCGCTCCGAGATCACCACCTTCAACGCCGTCGTTTCACACATACCTGAAGCCCGGAGCCCTTGCCCAGCTCAGATACTCGAAGATCACCGCTAGATCTAAGAAAATCGGCGCCCAGACTATGCTGGCGCTGTGTCAACTCAAATTGAGTTCGGTATCGGCGTCTTCACAGGCGCGTTCGACCAGCTTAGCCATGGATGGGATTCCTTGCTTCGGTTTGAGGGTTAAGAGTTATCCTTGCTGCCTTCAGCGCAAGAAACTCACTGCTGTTACGCCGTTTTTCTCTGAGACTCAGTCCTGATCTGCCTTGTAATTGTAGTTGATCATCGATGTAGATCAAAAATCCCCCAAAAAAGTGTGTAGAGATTCTCGTTTTAGTTTCTGATTTTTAGGTGTATTTTATTGTAATTGATACACAAGGGTTTGACAGATTTTTCATGCGAATAAAACGAGACAATTACTCTTTTATATGGTTTCTGCATGGATCTATTGGTCTGTTTTTGGTAATTGTAGTTTCCCTGTTGTTATAATTGATATGACTTGGAAACAATGGTTTCATAATGAATAGATTGATGCATTAATGGTGTTTTTTAGTATTGATGATTGGAGGATATCATGCACCTATTACTTTCTTCAATTAAAATCGATGTTCATCTGTTGGTCACTGTATGATTTTGCCCATTTGGTTGTTTATAATTACAGTTTGTGTTTAGCAGATCATGAATTTCAGTCTTGGTTAGAACCCTGAAACCGAAGATCCCCTGTCTGGTAAGTACTGTGTTTCTTGGTAAAAAAAATTATGCTGATTATTCATTTTTAACTTTGTGTATTTTTTGTACTCTGTTAGATTTTCGTATATATGTTGTGGTACATTGATGTACAATTATGCTGTTATAAATTGATGAAACAGGCCAAGCTGACAGGAAGAGAGGAATGGGGTTGTCCAACTCCAAGGTTTTAGTCATTCACATGTTGATTTGTGCAGTTGTTTTCCGATTCTTCTTTCGAGCTGGCTTTCTCCCTTCCTGAATATTGTGAAACAATCCATTGTTTTGAAATATATTATCCATCTTTAGTGTGAACTTTGAAGGTCTTAAATGCATATCAATTTGTTGAAGAACACATTTGAAACGGAAGCTAGATTTACACATAAATGCTGTTGATAATAGTTCCCAAGTTCGATCTCCGTTATACCTTTTTCAGTTTCTGCTTACTGCTGCATGCGGGAAAATAACCATTTTTGTGTAAATTTTATTAGAAGTTTCCTGTAAGATTCGATCTTAGATTTACCCTTTATATGAACTGATGTACTTATTGTATTCTTTTTGTCAGCATATAAAGTTTTTGGGTGACATAAATCCAATTGATCAGAAATCAGATTTAGTGGACGGGTGCGTGCATCGCCTTCATTCCCTGAATGAAGACAGTTAGTTTTAATACAATAAAAGACATAGATTTTTTTTAAGATACGCAGTCGCAATTCAGTTATACATAACTTTTATTATCCTGTTGGTCTACGGCAAGTAATTATGTGCACTCTGTTTATGTTTACAAGTCATATGTTGCTATTCCTGGTCCAACCTAAAAACTTTGATCTATATGGATGCATCTATATTGGTTCTTATGTGTGTTTATGAATTGTAGTTCTTTAAGCATTATAACTGTCACTTCGGCTTTCATTTCAATATGATTTATGAATTTATCAGCTCTTAACCTGTTTGCTGTATGAAGATGAGGCGCGAATAAGACTTCTTTTGCTTTTTGTGCTCTCATGAATATCGAGAAGATATTTCCGATGCTCTGTTCTTTCACAGGTTTTAAAACACTATTATGCTTTCTGTGAAAAAAAGAAAATGTCCGCTACATAAAGATGGACTTTTGGGGTTAAACATTCTACAGTGAAAAGATACATCTGAATCAAAAGCTACGATTTCTATCTTGAATGTTTTGAACTATGCATCAGTAGTCGAAGGTATGTGGCGATTTCTGTTATGCCTTTTTCAGCTAGAACTTAGTTGTCTCCAACATCTAGCTCATAACAGCTTGCAAGAGTTGAAACACATGAAATTACTGCATTATACCTTCTCTCTTATACTCGGTGGCTTTTGATTAATTCATAGGTTTGTATGACTGAAATAAAGGTTTGCATGACTGAAATAAATATATTAAGTTGCTTTTGATTAGTATGAAAACTTTCCTACACATAGATAGACACTGTCCATTTCTCCTTGTCCATCTTCGATTGGATATAGGGGACTACAAGAATGACTAACAAATACTAAGCTGCTGTGTTTCAGTGTTTGCCTGAAGTGTTTATAAGGTACAGATAATTGCTGCATGCTGGGAAAAAAAAATCATTATCATTCTGCAGTTAGCGCAGTGTAAGATAGATAAAATCAAGTATCCGTTGCAGAAGCAAAGGATAATAATCACATATATATATTGAAGGTGAGTAAAAGATGTTCTTATGTTTACAAAATAAATATGGTGGTGACTCCTCATCTTTTCGAGAAATTTTGTACGCATTCGAGAATCACAAATTTAAATAAGTGTCTATGCTGAAATCACTATTTTCTTGACAGGCACAATCGAAACGAAAAAAACAGAGACAGCCCCACAAAACACAAGCGCACAAAGGAAACGAAGCTCCGGTCTAAACCAAAGCATTGGCTCCGGCGACAATCTCCAAAATCTCTCCGGTGATCTTCGCCTGACGCTGTCTGTTGTAAACTCTCGACAGATTCTTCTTCAGCTCGTCAGCATTATCAGTGGCATTGCTCATAGCACTCATCCTAGCGGCAAGCTCACTGGCAAGAGATTCCTGTAGAGCTCTCAAGATTTGACTGTTCAAGTAAAGCGGCAAAAGGGCATCGAGAATTTGGACAGGGTCCTGTTCGAACTGCAGGATTGGCGAAAAATCGGTAGTCTTGGTTCTAACAACATCTCTCTCCACAGTCAACTTCCCTTCCTTTGTGGTCAGCCTGAAGAACTCATCATCCGCAGCGTCAACACAGATACCGTTGATATCACATATTTCTCCCCTGGGAGATAACGGGAGCAGAGTGTGAATAACGGGGTTCGATTTCACCAAAGATACGAACTTTGTGTAGAGAAGCTCGACTTTGTCGCACTCCTCACTGACGAAGAGGGAGAAGACATCGTCGGCGATTGCCTGAGCTTCTTTGGCAGTGGGGAGGTTGCTGCCTTCTATAAACTTGTCGACGGGTATGTACGGGCGGCGCGTGAAGTAGGTGTTACCCTTTTTGCCGACGCTGATGACTGTGTACTCGAGGCCGAGCTGCTTGAGCTCCTTGATGCGGGCTTCGGCTTTTTTGATGATGTAGTTGTTGTAGCCGCCGCAGAGACCACGGTCGCCGGTGATGACAACCAGGGCGACTTTCTTGACGGGTCGGATCTTGGTGAGAGGGATGTCGACGTCTTCGATCTGGAGCTGCTCGTTGATGTTGTAGAGGACCTCGACAAGGGTTTCGGAGAAGGGGCGGGCGTTGACGACGGCTTCCTGGGCGCGCCTGACTTTGGCGGCGGCGACGAGTTTCATGGCCTCGGTGATCTTCTTGGTGTTGGTTACGGAGACGATGCGCTCGCGGAGCTCACGGAGGCCACAGTTGATTTGGGTGGAGGAGGGGCGGGAAGGGGTGGGGGAGGAGGTGGCGGAGTTAGGGAGGTGGAAGGGGCTGAGGAAGGAGCGGGAGGAGAGGGTGGATGGGTCGGAGAGGGATGGCTTTGAGGAGACTAGCATAGTGAGATTGGAGCAAGACATTGTTTTTCTTTCTGCAAGATTTGTTGTCTGTGCAGAAAGGTGGTGGTGGTGGTGGTGGCTATGGAGGAAGAGAAGAAGAGGACAAGTGGTGGTGGTTTTTGGTTTGTGTAAGAGAGATTTTTCTCTGGTTGAGTCTTATCTGCTGCTGCATTATTGTTTTGTTGAGGTTGGCTTTTGTGGGTGGTGTTGGAGAGTGGAGTGAAATGAGAGGTGGAGAGAATGGGAGAGATGATCAGGTTTTAGGATAAGGATTTTTTCGAAACTGGAGTTTGTGGACGGTTTTTCGTTATTACATTATTTCTATTTTACTGTACCTTTGGTAGAAATACGCGGCAATGCGTGTGGAATAGAAATTCTCAACATTCTCGCAATTAAAAAATATAAACAAATCAAATATAATATTGGTGAAAACTGAAAATTAAAAAAATAAAAATTAAAAAAAATCTGATGCTTGGAAAATTATAAATTAAAAAATAAATAAATAAAATTGGCAGTATTACAGGGCTGGGAGATATTTATATACAAAATGAGGTCAATATTCAATCAACAATCCTCCTCCTCCAGTATGCGATGCAAATAGGGTCAATAAAATACAACTAAATTTTGACCCATCTCACCTCAATTCAACATCACTGTGCTTTGATTGCTTCATTAGAATCACAGCTTCATAATGGAAGCCAAAAATAAATATACAAGATGAATGAATAATCAGCCATTCACCGAACACTTACTCAAACTCGGGAGAGATCTCTCTAATAGCTGGCCTAACAACGGCTTGATACGTCTGATTATCCGGGATAACTCCCTGGATTACCAAATAATCATGCAATTTCACAACTTCCTCAGAAAAGCTCTTCTTGCTAAGGTTTGTCACTAATGTGGTGTACGTAACCGAATCCGGAGTTAATCCACGTGTAAGCATAACACCCAAAAGTTCCTTAGCATGCTCAAACAATCCAAATTTGCAAAACAAGTTGATCATGATATTATAACTCACCTTGTTCGCCAACCCCACTTCTCTCATACTCGTAAACAAATCAAACACCTCTTCAATCTTCCCACTACAACAGTACCAATTCAACACGGTGTTAAAAGTTACCGCATCGTACATATTCAACTTTTTCATCTCGTTTACCAAATAAATCGAAGAATCCACAAATTCTTCTTTGCAGAAACCATCCAAAATGGAATTGAACACCACCAAGTTCGGATTCTTGTCAATCTTAATCATGTCGGTGTAAATTCCGACAGCACTTTCGACTCTGTTAGCCTTGCAGTACCCATCGATCATTGTACCATATGTTACTACATCCGGAATCAAACCCCGAACAAACATGCTGCATATCAGTTGCTCTGCCCCACGTATATTCTCGCTTCTACAGAGATAACTTATGAGAATATTGTGAGAGAAAGCATCTCCGAAAAGATTCCTTTCAACAATCCACTTGTGGTGTTTTACAGCTTCGTTTATCCAACCATTTCTGCACAACCCTTTCGCAATAATCGAGTGGGTGATTCTATCAGGGTTTATACAATTCTCCATCATATCGGACAATAACAACGTAGCTCCACTAATATCTCCCTCCATGTACAGACAGTGTACTAAAGAATTATAGACAGCTGAATTAGGGACAAAACCTTTTTCAACCATTTTATTACACAACCTAAACGCTTCCTCCAAGTACCCATTCCTCGAATATCCATCAACCACAGTGGCGTACGTCCTTACATTAGGAGCCACATTCATCTCGATCATTTTGTCCAAAATTTCTTCGGCAATTTCCGGTTTGCCCTTCTTGCAATAACCATTGACAATACAATTGTAAGTAACTTCGTTAGGGTATGCACAGCCACTCGACATAGTTTCGATCCTCTTCATAAGCTTTAGTGCTAAATCGAGGTCGTCTGCCCTACAAGCTCCGTCGATAAGCATATTGAACGCGACAACATTAGGCGAAATCCCACTCTTCAACATCCTATAAAACATCGAAAAGGCTTCAGATAATCTACATTCTCTACAGAGAGCATAAATTAGGAGATTAAAGGTATTCACATTCTCGTAATACTCGTGCGAAATCATTTCCCTGTACATCATCCAGAACCTACCAACATCCCCTATCTTCAACAGATGGTTCAAAAAATTGTTCCACGCGTGAATCGAGACGGGATAGTTATCCGTTTTCAGTTTCTTGATAACCTTATATGCATCCTCAGTTGCTCCAATTTGTGTACACGCCCTAACCAACGAATCGAAAACATTGCTACTACTCTGTAAACACACTTCAGAGGTGGTGATTAGGGCATCCAAAACCTCTAAAGGCGAATGCCCTTTCGATATCATCAATTCTTTCAATAAGTCCAATGCATCCTCATAGTTCTTATGGTGCACCATCACATGAATTAGAGTGGAACAACACTCCAAAGACTGAAGAATAGCTACACGCCCACCGATTCTTCGGTAGAACTCTAGAATTAACTGAGGGGAGCTTCGGAATTCGCGAAAAACACGAGAAATCAAGGGGTCTGTGAGACTTGATGACAATTGGTCCAAGAAATTCCATTTCTTCTGCCTTATGTTCACACAGACAGCCTTGAAAACTATATCTTCAGCAGTTGGGGTGGTGAATTTCTTACCAAAATGAAGGCCTCGGACAAAAAGATTTCTTCTTTTCGATGAAAACAAGCCCAAAAACATAGAAAATGTGATACCTGGTTTGTATCATGGCCCTTTTTTTCTATCCCCTAAATAAATGCGAAGTTTGGCACGGAGGATTGAAGTTAGGGTTTACTTGATGGAAAATAAGAACGAAGGAAAGAGAGTTTGAAGTGGAAAATATTTAATGAGACGATGAAAGAAAGAGCGTTGTTCACCATGAACTCTCTTCTGTTGCAGAGAGCCGAGACGCCAGTATGGATTGGGCCTCAATTTTTTAAATTAGGGTTTACTTTTGAGCCCTAATAAGTTACGATAATAGGCCTGGATTTTAATGATTATTTTGGGCCGAAAGTGTAGATTAACTATTTTAATGATGTGATGTAACTATTTCACTTTCCCTCGTGAAGTTGTTCATGAGATTTTGAAGATCCAAATCTCCCCAGTGGCCAAGCCAAAAACTCTTGTGTGGTCTCCCTCCAAGTCAGGGGACTTCTCAACCAAGAGTGCATATCTTACTGACCAAAAAAACAGATTCATCCCACCCTCTTGCAGCTCTTCTTTTCCTTGGACTAAACTGTGGAATCTCAGAATTCATAACAGGCACAAATTATTGTTTTGGAAGATTATCCTGGATCTTCTTCCTACTCACTGCAGGCTCAACAAACTTTTCCCTATTCCCAACTTGGAATGTTTTTTCTGTAATTCAGCTGTTGAAAATGTGGACCATATTTTTCTCAACTGCCCTCTTATCCAACAAGTCTGGTTCATCTCTAAATGGAACTTGAGAATTGATCCTTTTAGAAATGAACCAGTCAGTAGGTGGCTTGCTCTGCTTTTTGACAAGAAAAATTCTCTTTTCCCTTCCCAAGCACTGAGGGAGGAATTCATCATCTTCACAGCTGTTCTTTTTGACACAATTTGGATGAATAGAAATAAAGTGGCTCATGGTTCTATTTCTCTTACCTTGCAGGAAATTCTTAAGACTGTGGTGAAAAGCTCCAAGGAGCACTGGACTTGTCAACAGAAGATGCATATCCAAGCAAAATCAATGCATGCTCAAGTCTGGCAAAAACCCCCTAAAGATTGGATTAAGATCACTACTGATGCCTCATTTGACATTTCACAAAGATCTCTCCTTTTCCAGCTGCATTATCAGGAATGAGAATGGCTCGATCATTTTTGCCAACACCAAGAAACACCTTTGTTCTGATGCTCTTATGGCTGAATGTATGGCCATCCTTGAAGCCTGTAAGATTCTTGATTTTGCCCAAGCAAACTGCTCAATCATTGAATCTGACAGTCTCATTGCTATTTGGCTCCTCCATTGCTCTGATGATATTGTATTCTGGGGGGTTAAAGTGCTGATTGATGAGATTAAGAGATTTTGGGGGAGATGGCCAAAATGGAGATTTTTTTTCATTTCTCGTAATTTTAATTTTGCAGCCCACCATCTGGTCCAATGGGCCCGTGTTTCAAATTGGGATGGGCATGTCCCTCTCAATATTATTCCTATTGTCTGTTTTTGTGATGGTGGGCATCCTATTGTTGATTCCTCTTTGTACACTTTTTTGATTGATTAATGCATTTCTTATTCATCAAAAAAAAAAAAAAAAAAAAAAAAAAAATAATACAAAAAGAAAAAAGAAAAAAGAAACAATTATTTGCGAATAACTACACACAGTAGAACCTCGATAAATTACTAACCTCGATTAAATAATAGTTTCTCTTGGTTCCGATTCTGTGAAAATGTGTTAAATTATTAACTCGATAATTTAATAATTCGTTAAATTAATAAAAATTTTCTAGTTCCGACTGTATTAATTTATAGAGATTTAACTATAATTAGTAAATTATTGATTAATTTTTAATTGTTTTGGTTTAACTTTGTTAGGGGTGTTCGAACTGGACCAAAGTGGTACAGTATAAAACCGAAAAAATCAAGAGAAACGAAATGTTAACAAAAAAAAAAAAAAAAAACTATATCACACACTTCCTATTCATGAATTTTCGGTTCGGTTCGAATATTTTGTACAATTTTCTCGTGGATATTACTTGAATCAAGTTTAAGTAGATTTGTGTAATGATTTATTTGTGATGAAAATGTACCATACATATACTGAACAGTGAAATAATCTATACACTTTGACATAATTATGAACTATAATACATGATTTTTTTTAACTGATAATTAACAAGCATTTATTATATTCAAAAAATCAGCTTCTTGTGTATGTTTAACCACGGAAAGTAATACAGCTATTTTTTATTATAGTTTCATTAGAACTGTTATAATAGATAAAAATGTAACAACAATCAGACCAAGAAGGTATAACAAATGCATCAAATGTAATAACCACAAACTCCAGTTTCGACAAAAAAATCCTTATCCTAAAACCTCATCCGATCACTCATCTTCAACTATACGTAAACGGTTAACATCGTACCCAAAACTCCAGTTTCGAAAAAAATCCGATCACTCATCTTCAACTATACGAAAACGGTTAACATCGAACCCGAATTTTTTAGAGCTCGCTGTCACGGACTTGTTCCCTTAACAAAGAACCGTGCGGCCTTAGCTCCTTCTCGCCCCTCGCGATAGCTAAGTCAGCCTCTCCCGAATGTGTTACGAATACTAAGTGATGGAAACGAAGAAAGAAATTAAGAAGATAAGAGAGTTGGTAAGAAAGTACTCTATTACTTGAGTGCTTGTTGGATTGCTTGGATTTTCTTGGATGATTACAAATGACGACCCTACATCTATTTATACAAGACCACCTCCTCAATGGACGGTGGAGATCGATATGATCTAACGGTTGGGAGTGGAACACTCCAAAGAATCCCTAAAATGTCTCTACCTACCACCACTTACCTCTACCTACCTCTATACATTTGGGCCAACTTGGGCCTAACCCTATTTGGGCTAAATCTTGGTCTTCCTAACCTTCAAAACTAGCAAGGGGTTGGGTCAAAACTAGCGGGCCGTGACATCCTCCCCCGCCTAATCCGGCGACGTCCTCGTTGCCTCGAACAAGTGGAGACGATCTTGAAATTGCCACAACTCTTCTATCGTCTCCCACGTTGCCTCGGATTCGGGTAATCCCTTCCATGAGGCTCCAGTAACCCTGCCGGCTGTTTATTCTCCACCTTGTCTTGTTGGCAAACAAGACAAGTCTTCACATATGTATCGACACTGTCCAGCATGTGAGGCCAAAAATAGGCCGTCTCGAGCAACGCCATTGTCCGTCTTTGGCCCGGATGCCCCGCCCACTTGGTGTCGTGGCATTCCCTTATGAGGTCCTTCCTCAAACTGCCCCACTTCGGAACGAAGAGTCGCTGTCCCTTCGTGTAGAGTATGCCGCCTCTACCCAAAATTGCCTCGTCTTGCCCTCCTTGACGAGTCGAATTAGCTCCTTGGCCATTTGATCATGTTCGAGCCCTTCTCGGATCATGTCGGCCAAATTCCCCCTTGTCGAGCTAATGGCTGCGAGTTCGGCTTTTCTACTCAAAGCATCGGCTACAACGTTTGCCTTCGATGGTCGGGTCCTCCCCGTCTCGACCAACTCATTAAGTTGCTTCCGGAGTTCCTCGGGCTCCGGCGGTGACATGCGATAGGGAGCCATGGCGGGTGGCTTGGCTCCGGGCTCCAACTCGATGGCATGATCCACCTCCCTCCTAGGTGGAAGTTTGTCGGGTAAAGTTGGTGGCATCACATGAAATTCTAATAACCGTCACATATTAATTATATATCAACCACATATTCAAATAAAGGTATATTCCATCTCAAGATATCGGGCACTCCATTAATAACTTATCTTTGGACAATGATATTAACTTGTAAGTGATATCTTGGTGTAGTAATCAAACACTGACAATAAGAGCACATCAAATAATAATTCTACCTTAGGGCCAAACTATTATTCACATGCAAAACACCAAATAATCGCCACGTGTTTACCACCACAATATGCACATGCAATTCAGCAAAGTATTGGCCTTCCTTAGGGCCGACACAATACCCACATTATTACATGCACGAAACCTTTTGTATTTTAAAATAAATTAAGTTTCACAGGAGAGCTCACTTAGGCGAGATGCTGCTTCTCTTAATTCATATCAAAACACATAAACCAAACCATTATTTAAATTTTAACTGAATAAGAGCCAATAGACTTTCTCTAAAATTTCTTTAGTCAAAGGCCTAATTAAATTACCTTATGAACACAAATCCCACGTTATTTAGATTCAAAGTCAAAATAAATCGACTAGAAATCTTCACTTTATAACCCAAAGATGAACCTAAACCATAAATCATAAAATTCATATTTATTTGAATTAGAGCTTAAAGTAAAATGAGCTCACAAATTCAACCTTATTAGATTTAAAGCCAACAATAAATTTCTGACAAACAAATCTAAATTCTTATGAATTTTCACAAAACAATGAAGACTCTAATTTATAATAAAGTCACGAGTCTACGAGTCAAATATCGATTGGGTCAAAGCTTATTGAGTTATACATGATAACTCATACATATATTGACAAACAAACGAAACTTCAATGAGTCAAAACCAATTGAATTATAATAATTCATATCCATAATTTGACTAATTAATCCAAAATTTCAATCCTAAAAGACCCGAACTTTAGAAATCTGAAATTCCCCAAAATAAAATGCCGTAGGAAACTAAATTGAAATTCAAACTGAATCTCACTTTATTGTCCAAACAAGTTCTTAAAGAGAATTAAAAAATAATTCACTTATTCGTTTGATTCTTCGTAAAACTTAAATTTCAAGTGGCCCCAAAACCCTTTTGTAAAAACTTAAAATCAAATTTTTTTTTTTTTTTAATTCCTTAAAAAAAAGTTGCTTTTGCCCCAGATTCAGAAAATCTAAGAACTTGAAGGACTGAATAGAAATTTTCTAAGGAAAGTCTTTGATTTAAAACGGACCTGAGATTCATAAATGCTTAATTTTGGGGGTTAAACAATATTTTCTGAATGTATATCACAGTTTTGAGAGAGACTTGAAAAAAAAAATGGGGACTGAAATGCAGTTTTCGAAAGCTTGAGGCTGTAATACGGATTTTTTTCATTATTTCAAATCAACCCCGGCCCAAAATCAGGAATAACTTTAATTAGGGGACCAAATTAAAAATTTCAGAGAATTTCAATTATAACCTCGGGGGGCCAAATTTTAATTTTTTTTCAAAACAAAATTCCTTAACCTAATCCATATCCACAAAGCGGCCGTGCAAATTAGCATAACATAAATGGGGGACTTAATAGCAATTTCAATGAACTTTAACGTGGTAAATTGCAATTTCCCAAAAAAAACTTAATCAACCTAATTTTGCTTCTTCAGCAAACAAACCGCCGTCACCCACCTTCTGCCATCAAAACCGCCGCTAGACCACCATATCACCCCGTCTCGCCTGAACTATTGCGAGGTGTTGAGTTTTGACAGTTGGTGGCGATTTTGGACGGCACGGTCGTAATAGAAAAAAAAAAAACTGATCGACCGCCGCACCTTACTCGAACAGAAATTTCAGATTTTACCTTAATCCTTAATCTTTAAACATCAATCCGTATATCAGGTTAAATCGAGATTCTTAAGCCAATCCGAAATTAATGAATTAAATTTCTTTACATGAAATTCAATTTCAGACTGTCGATCCAAATTTTAGAATTAAGCAAATCTAAAATATAAATAATTGGATAACCACGAACTTCAATTAAGCATGAAAGCATATTTCATATAACTTACCTTAATCACATATTTACACGAAACATTACTAACCATAAAAAACCAAATCCAGAAAATAGGTTTCATGATAACATCAAATAAACTTAATCCGTGAATATCAATTTCATGACATAGAGAATCAATCAAAATAAATAAGAAAAAAATCTAGATGATTCGAACATGGCCGGCTCTGATACCACTTGTTGGAATAAACTTGAATAAATCCATGGAACCGTCATGCAAAATCATCAAGAATATTGTGCATAGACTTAAATCGGAAGCGTACCTTACTCCGGTGGAATTGATATGAAATGATCATGGATCTTCCAGATCATCGTGTACATCCGGTGTACATCCGAACCCGAGAACCCTTTAGGCTTCTCTTTCGTTTTCTTTATGTCGATGGAATACATAGAGAATGGAATTCGTACATGTGATCCGGGGACCATGACCAATATATATAGATAACCTAATGGGCTATCTTGTGTAATTTTATTTTAGCACATCACTATAATAAAATTACCCTGGCTTAACTTTACGTGACAGTCTTGCAACACATAATATTTCACATATAAGTCCAACGTTGGATTAATGTTCCAACATGGTCTACATCAGCTCCACATCTTCATATTCTTTCTTGCCATATTCCACGTCTTTTATAGCGCTATAACGATGATGCTCGGCAGGATGAAGGTATTTTTCATTTTTTCGTATTTCATAATTATATAATTCTTTTTTGTTTTTCTGATATAGTATCGTGGGGCAGCAGATTCGTGAATGGAAAGAATGCACGGGAACGAGAGATTGCAAACAATACTAACAAATCCATTGGTATGTATGTATTGTGCTCGTAATTATTAATTTTTTTGGCTCGAAAAGATAAATAATACTAGTGTTTGTTTTCGTACAAAAAGATTCTGCCAAGTTTAGGCTTACGCACGAGGATTCGTTTGTTTTTCGTCGCATTATATTCACAAATTAAAATAATTAATGAAATAGCTATAACACGCATTTTTCTTCTGTAATTTAGTGGGATAAAAATGGAACAACTTATCAAGGAAATTAGGCAATCAGACCAAGCTATAACAAAAAAATTCAATAAATAATGGTACACAATATATATAAATTATAATAGTCTTTTAATATATTATTTTGGTCAGAAATTAGATTTGATTTTCTATTAGCATTTGGGATAATTGAGAATAGGGTTTTTTGCCAACCAATTATCTTCGAACCTAAAACCCTGAATCCCACAACATCGACACGCACAGCGAGAGAGAGAGAATGGAGTTTCAAAAGAGGAAGACGGCGGCTCTCGCCGCCATCAACTCGCCGGCGCCGGACAAATCCCCCAAAGGCGACATAGACGCGCCAATCATCCCTCTCTTAACCGCTATCAACTCCCACCCCTCTTACTTCACCACCAGCTCTTGCTCCGGCCGCATCTCCGTTCTCTCTCAGCCAAACCCCTCTCCCTCCGCCCCCAAGAAGAAGGCAAGGGGCGGCTCGTGGATCTTCGTCTCCCACGACCCGGTTCACCCCTCCTCCCTATCCACCACCCTCTTTCCCGATTCGGCCGGGTTGACCCGACCCGAAACTATTGAGAACCAGAGTAGTCTCGTCTTCAGGTTCGAGCCGTTGATCATAGCGGTGGAGTGCGAAAACTTAGAGGCGGCTCAGTCTTTGGTTTCTCTCGCTATTACGTCTGGGTTCAGAGAGAGCGGTATTACTAGTGCAAGCAAGAGAATGATCATTGCTATTAGGTGTTCGATACGAATGGAAGTGCCGCTGGGCGATACGCAGAAGCTCATGGTGTCCCGAGAGTATGTCGAGTATCTTGTTGAGGTTGCTAATGAGAAAATGGGGGCTAACAGGAAAAGAACTGATTTCTTTTTCAGTAAGCTGATAGATAGTGGATTTCCGGGGCACGAGATTCGAGTGAACGGTGAAATGAATGGGAATGGTGAAGAAACGCGCGTTGAGGCTGGAAGTGATGGATTTTTTAGGAGTTCGACTGAGAGTGATGCGGTGGTCCTCGAGGGAGAGTTGGAGTCTGAAAGCAGATATATTCATGAACCTGATAATGGTAACTGCTGCTCGAATTGATCCATAAGTTTAATTGCACTCTTAAGTTTGATTGTTTGGTGTTCATTTCGTCTTGTATATAAAGTCCGTTGCTATATACTCTTGGTTTTGGTTGAAAGTAGTGAAAACTGGGTAAATGATTATTTTTGGTGATCATCATATTTTGCGGAGTACTTAATATTCGTGAAATATTGATTTCAAATCTTGGTTAATGAACTTAATTCTGTGCTTTTATCTAAGGAGTATCGTAAGGATGACTTATATGCGAAATCATAATTAAATAGCTACGCGGATGTGTGTGGTTGACATATTCATTATGTAAGCCTTTTGCACTAACGGACATACAATTTTCTGTCTGATATAGATGAGTGGACTGCATACATATCATTTACTGTTGATCAATAATCGGTTATCAATTAGGATTATTTCGAACGCATTTGTCTGTTCTGCAATGGCTGCTATCCCCTTTGCATGGATTGGTATGCCCATAAACTAATTCAATTTCATTTTACGCAGTCCTGTATTGGATTAGACTCGTAAGACTCTCTGGTGTATTAATGCATCGTAGTGCCGTTACAAACTAATAAGCGTCTAAATTGCAGGACTACTTTCCCTTAATCTGTCTGGAGCTGAAATCTTTAAATCTTGACAGGACCACTAGAAGTATTTGACATCGATTTATCCATTGTTAAAGTAGTTGGTGAACCTGTTGAGAGACTCTTCTTGTGGGGTCATTCCGCTTGTACTCTGAACCAAAAGAAGATTATTATATTCGGTGGCTTTGGAGGCATTGGAAGACACGAACGTAAAAATGATCTGTTGATTCTCGACAGTGAATCTGGGATAATGGATATAATTACTGCTGCTGGAGCCCCATCTCCCCGATTAGGCCATACAGCTTCCATTGTAGGAGATTACATGTTTGTGATTGGAGGTAGGGCAGACCCAATGAATATATTGAATGAAGTTTGGGTACTCAATACGGTAAAGGCAGAGTGGAAGCTTTTGCAATGTACAGGCAGTTTGTTCCCTCCAAGGTAGTGGTTTATTGATTACAAACTTATAAACTTATTCACTTTGGTAGCACTACCCATAAAGTTTCCCTCGCACCTCATTTTTTTATTTTTTTTATTAGGGGCTTTAATTTATATTTCATTCCACAGGCATCGACATACAGCTGTTGTTGTTGGTTCCAAAATATATGTGTTCGGTGGAATACATAATGATGAAGTTTTATCATCGCTTTATGTGCTCGACACACACACCTCCGAGTGGTCAGAGATAGAATCTCATGTAGCTCCTGGTCCACGGCATTCGCACTCGATGGATGCAAAGGGGTCTAAGTTATATATATTTGGTGGATACAATGGAGAGAAACTCCTTGAGGATCTTCACAGTTTTGATATTAAAACAGGTGTGTGGACTAGGCTAAAGACAAATGGACAATCGCCAAATGCTAGGTTTTCGCACTCGATGTTTATTTATTCGAATTATCTCTGCATTTTTGGGGGTTGCCCTGTTAGTGGACATCATAAATTGTTCGTACTTGATCTTCAGACCGAGTCTTGGAAGAATGTAGTGGTAAAGTCTATCGAAGAAGCCCTTTTTGTTCGTAGCACAGTAAACGTGGTTGGTGATGATCTGATAATAATAGGTGGTGGGGCAGCTTGTTATGCATTTGGGACTAAGTTTAGTGAACCAGTGAATATAAACCTGCTTCAGTTGGTGTCCTTATGTGATAATACAGAACCAACATCAATTGAAGAGAAGCATGTGGATCAAATGGAGCGGAAGAATTGTGCCCTTCTATATTCTCAGAGTAGAACCGAACCATTTGTAAATGGATGTGTTAACCTAGATTCCGAGTTTAAAAAGGAAAGGATAACTTGTGGCGGCGGTGTGGCGGCCATTCCCTCTATTCTTCGGATTCAGAAACAGTATGCTAAATTGGGGAAGGACATACTAAAAATATTTGGGTGGTTAGATCTTGAAAGGAAGGTTTATTCGCAGGAGGATGGAATGTATATCTGCCTTCCTGTTACTGAAAATTTCTGCTCTTTGTTAGATAACCACGACTTAACTGATAAATGCGAACCACTAGGCGATCTTCAGTCCTTGAAGCCATCTGCTTGGCAAATTTTATTGAATGATATGTCCAGTTCAGCAGCTCTGAATCTTCTAATATCATGTGGTGCAACCAAGATTGTGGATGAGGTCGTCAAAATAAAGAAAACTGCAGATTCTCCTTTCAAAGTGATGAAGGAAGCTGTGGCCTCTTTGTTGAATAGTCATGGTTTGCCAGCAGAACTTATAGAACAGCTGCCGTCAAGGTTTTTTTTTTTTTTTTTTTAATGGTGCTAGTGCTTCTGTAGTGTCGGGATATTATGATATAAAACTATTATTCTATTATTTTCAGTTCCATTTGCTCATGCTTTTTTCAACTTCCTTTTTTTGCAGATGGGAGCGACTCGGGGATATAATTGTGCTCCCTATTACGTCCTTCAAGGATCCGGTATGGGAATCAATTGGAGAGGAGCTTTGGCCTCTTGTTGCACAATCACTTGGTACTCAACGTCTAGCTCATCAAGTAAGCAATAGATTGATACCTTATATCTGTTATTGTACTGATTCTTTTGCGACACGCTTTTGGGAGAGTTGTCCTAAGTAGTTACATTTGACTTTCCTTGGAACTAAATCGTGCTATATAAAGTAAGAACGCGACGGGAATAATTTTAAAATTCAATCACCGTACGCTAAATAATGATAAAGCATTTTCAAGAGCAATCGGATGGAAATTATCGTACCATTTTGATGATATTTAGGGGCGAATTGCGCCAACTGGAACAAGAGATAGTAAGTTGGAGATTCTTGTTGGAGACAATGGCTGGGTTGATCACCGTGAAAATGGAATACTTTATTCTTTTGATGCAACCAAGTGCATGTTCTCTTGGGGCAATCTTTCCGAGAAGCTGCGAATGGCCCATCTTGATTGTACAGATCAAGTGGTTGTGGATTTATTTGCCGGCATAGGATACTTTGTGCTTCCATTCCTTGTAAGGTACCACTATTTTCTCAAATTGTGTGCCGTTTCATATTTAAATTGCAGGTCACAGTCTTTATTTTATTTCATTATTCGAACGTGTATATTTATGTTTGTATGATATGGCTAATCAGGGCGAGTGCGAAATTCGTGTATGCTTGTGAGTGGAATCCTCACGCCGTAGAGGCACTCCGTCGTAATCTTATTGCTAATTCTGTGGCTGATCGTTGTGTTGTACTGGAAGGAGATAATAGAGTTACAGCTCCTAAAGTACGATTTTTTTCTCTTCTTTTAAGTCTGCTATTTATTTATTTGTTAATTTATTTCGAACCCAGTATAATGGGTTTTTCACGGCTCAATTTGACAAGCTTGCACGTCTAGTGTTGGGTTTATCACTTATGTTATAACTTATAATACAAGGCAAAGCACGAAATGCAATTATTGATTACCATTGGTCGACGATTTTGAAGGCATTAGCCATTTGCAGACATCCTTGTTTGTAATAATCCTCCGATTTACAATTATTGCTTCCCTTCGATTGAACCCAAGAAAATTCATAATTGTCGTAATTTGGATTTATTTTAACTTTCTTCTTACACAGGGAGTTGCTGATCGAGTATGTCTCGGCCTCATACCATCGAGCGAGTGTAGTTGGGTCACTGCGGTCAGAGCCTTAAGGTTTGTTATCGAACCATCACGCTGAAAAAAATTATAGTATGCCCTAAAATTTAAATCCCGATCGACCCCCTTATGATTGCTGCAATATTATACTCGACGACTAAAATAATGCAGAGACGAGGGTGGGATGCTACACATCCATGGGAATGTGAAAGACACGGAGGAAGATTTATGGGCAAACAATGTTCGGCAATCCATTTCGGACATTGCTAAATCAGAAGGTATCTTATATCCAAAAAAATTCATCCGAGCCCGTTGCGTAAACAAACCACAATTTGCTATATATAATTCACGCACGTGACATAATGTACGTCTAATTTCAGGTCGTTTGTGGGAGGTTTCGGTGAACCACGTCGAAAGAGTAAAATGGTATGCTCCGCATATTCGCCATCTTGTCATAGACATAAGCTGCAAACTAAAGCAAGAGACGAAAATCGACGCATGATTTTGCTGCTACACTACGTCGACGCTCTATGTTGAAGTAAGTCTATTTGTTCTAAGAGATTTTTTTTTTTTTTTTTTGCAAATTCATTTTAAATGGAGTCTTTTGAAATCCTTGACCAATTTTTTTTCTCAGATTCAAATTCATCATCTTGAAGTATTAAACAAACAAGATAACATGTTAGACTTGCTAATCAAAATTTATATTGATATTAACTGGATAAACATCTTGAGTTAATAATCCCAGTTTCTTAATTAATTAATGTGTCTTAACTTTTAATATATAAATAAAAATAAAATACTATGGATATTTTCAATCTCATCCAGTGCCTGAAACTCGGAATATTTTGCTATTTAATATTTATTTATTTATTTAATGCCACAACACTGACAAAGGAGTGCACCAATTTCCATGAACTCGTGGCATCTTTGAAATCTGAATACGTTAAAAATTAGTACTATTGTTTAATTGCATTATTAAATTTCTTGTGGGTGCAAAATTAATGCACAACGTCAGCCCTTTCCTCATCTGATATTATTTTAATATTATTTATTTAGTGTTTATTTTATTTTATTAGTTAAATAAAAGATATTTAAAAGAGCGGTGCACCAGACTATCGGTGCACCTTACACGTAGGGACAAACGAATTCTGTCGGTCGCACAGTAACTCCCTACTACTTGCACACTAGCCTTAATTTTGGCTTGGGGTGGGCTGCGCTACGCTCACCCATGTGAAAAGTTCATTTCAATTCTTTTTTAATACTAATTTAAATGAAAATTTTATTTATTAAAATAATTGATTGAATATTAACAATATTGATTAATTCATTCAAAATAATTGGGTAGGAGCTGCGAAAAATGATCTTGCATTATTGTAATTGAAATAATTGAAAACCAAATAAAATGAAATCTTCTACTTTAATTTGTTGATAAATAAATAATAAGAATAGGAAGACACTTTCCTTTCCACTATATAAATAACATTATTGATATGCCACTTGTATTGGTAGTAATGTTTGGAGGCCCTATTTTTGTTTCTATTTCTCTGTTTATATACTACGATTGATTGCAACCTCTTACCCTCAACCTTAGGCACTCGACAAATTCGCCATTTGGCACTCATAAAAACCACTCGATCGTCCAACAATGGATGATCTAGCGGTTGGAAGTAAGTGAGTTTGTGTCAGTCGATCTAGGTCCGAGTGGTTTACATTTCTCGCATGGTTTGCAAGTTATTATACGAGGCCGTATGTTTCCCCGGTGAACCTATATGGTTATAAGCGATTTCTTTATTATCGAAAAAAAGAAAAAGACCCTCAGGATATTATTACACAAATTAAGTATGACAACCTTTTTCATGCACTAAAAAAGAAAAAGGGAAAAAACACAATATGTAATTATCCTACGTTAGGACCATTTTGAATCTTTTCTTTTTCTTCCTTTTTAAGTGATACAACTTTTTTTTAATAAAAAAGTTTTTTCCCTTCACCTTCTTTACTTTTCTCTAGCTAGAGTTTTAAACATAAATGTTCAAACTTACATAAGTTACCAATGGAGCTTCACAATTTTGGTTTGAGCTTTTCTTTTGAATATAAATTTATATTCAAGTTTAATTCGTTATATTAAACAATCAAGCTTCGAGCTTTCCAATAGTCGAATTCAAATAAAAAAATCGAGATAACTTGGTTCGGTTTTCTGGTCAATTGAAACCCTAATTGCAAATTGACAAAATTTTAAATTTAATAGCTTCTCAAAGTTAGCAATAAGTGCATAAACAAAACTACAAGGGACAGTGTAAGCAGTAAATGCAGCACAGTAACAAATGTCAAAATAATGCAAAAGAATCATTCATCATCATAACTCCCTTAATCTCTCTCTCTCTCTCTCTATCTATCTTTCATTATTTAAAGAAGCATCCAAGTGAAGAAGAGAGCATAACTCAAAGTCACCTTTTAGTGTGTGTAAGAGTGAGAGAGAGAGAGAGAGAAAGAACAATGTCTTGTTCCTCAAATATTTCGAAGGCTCTCTTCTTCCTCGGAATCATCTACTTATCATCATCGGTGTCTGTTTTCGCAGAACAAAATGACGATCCTGCCCTTGTAATGAACTACTACCAGGACTCATGCCCACAGGCAGAAGAAATCATCAAAGAGCAAGTCCAGCTTCTCTACAAGCGCCACAAGAACACCGCTTTCTCCTGGCTCAGAAACATCTTCCATGACTGCTTCGTCGAGGTCATCTTTTTTTCTTTTTCACAAAATGTTTCGAAATTAGTTGAATTTTTTTTTTTAATATTTTTTTTTTTAAATTTACAAAAAAACAGTCATGTGATGCATCTCTACTGCTGGATTCGACGAGGAGGGTATTATCGGAAAAAGAAACAGACAGAAGCTTCGGAATGAGGAATTTCAGGTACATTGAAACCATTAAAGAAGCTCTAGAGCGAGAGTGCCCCGGTGTTGTTTCTTGCGCCGATATTCTCGTCTTGTCTGCTAGAGATGGCATTTCTTTGGTAAGTTAGTTAGTTAGTTAATAACTTTACTAAAAAAAAAATACCCTTTTTGGTAATATTTTTCATTGTGTGTTTCTGGTAATATAATCAGGTAGGAGGGCCAAACATCCCCCTAAAAACAGGGCGAAGGGACGGCAGAAGAAGCAGAGCGGATATTCTCGAACAACATTTACCAGACCACAACGAAAGCATGTCGGTCGTTCTACAAAGATTCGCCAGCATCGGGATCGATACCCCCGGCGTTGTCGCGCTGCTCGGCGCCCACAGCGTGGGGCGCACGCACTGCGTGAAGCTGGTGCACCGTTTGTACCCAGAGGTTGACCCGGCGCTGAACCCTAGCCACGTGGAGCACATGCTGTACAAGTGCCCCGACGCGATACCCGACCCGAAGGCGGTCCAGTACGTGAGGAACGACCGCGGCACCCCCATGAAGCTCGATAATAACTACTATAGAAACATATTGGATAATAAGGGCTTGTTGATTGTTGATCACCAGTTAGCCACCGATAAGAGGACTAAGCCGTTTGTGAAGAAAATGGCGAAGAGCCAAGATTACTTCTTCAGCGAATTCTCGAAGGCGATCACCGTTTTATCGGAGAACAACCCTCTCACCGGCACCAAGGGTGAGATTAGGAAGCAATGCAACCTTGCAAACAAGCTACATTGAAGTATTAGTATGTAGTAATGTGTGTGGCAAAAATAATTAAGGTGGTTTTATTTAATTTGCATTGCAAGATTTGGGCTTCCTTTTTTTTTTTTTTTGTAATTTTAATTTTATGGGATTAAATGTGGGGGGTGTGAGGAAAGTTGTATGTAAGGAATGGTGATGGTGTATGAAATTATGATGCATATGTTATGTATGTATGTGTTGATGATGGTTGTTGAATTTTGAAGCAAGATTCATATATCCGACATAATATTTATTGCAAATTGGGGGACATGTAATTAAAATTAAAATGATAAAATCCAATATATATATAGTGAGGAAAAGTCAAAAGAAAAGGGGGCCACCGGGGGTGGATTTAATAAGAGGGTATCACGTGAAAGATAAGATTCCTTTACATAAACTAATGATGGCTTACAAAAATGGATTATAGTGTGTGTCTGCTTTTTTTTGGACTGTGACAGAAATTATTAATGTTGGATCAAATATCCAGAATCAGGGAGAAATTATTACTCAGGAGAAGTGGTTAGTTATTAGATGAATACCTGATCAGGGTTCTTATTCTCAATTTGGCAAAAACTTAGATTTGTCTGAATCTTTCATTGAAAAAGAAAAGAACTTCATAATTCATAATTGACTGTGCCACTCTTGTCCGTGTCCATATTTGTTAGTGTTTGTGGCCCAATATGATATTTTCCCATTATTTGTGAAATCGGCCCATTAGCCAACTCAAAAGGCCGGTTTAAGTGGTTTGACTTGATCTTGACCATTTGATTCAAACAGTCTGATATTGGCATTCCATCCATGCGTTATAAGCTTAGGTCTGAAAATCCTAAACTCATATTTGTTGCCTCATTCCTCTAAACTCTCGCTCTCATTTTATGATGTACCTCTTTTGTTGTTTCCATGTAGTTTTCCGACGACTTCAACGTTTGTCGCCTTACATGGAGAGCAATAGAGCATTAATTTGAAGGCAACTTTGTTGTCTTTGACCGTTACTTCTTGTGCTATAAAAGTGACAGTCTATGAGAGAGAGAGATGGGATATTGTTCATTCATTTTCTTCTCTTTTTCGTCTCCTATCTTTAGTAATGGAGTATGAGTGACGGAAACTCGATGAGATAAGAACTATGTGAGTGTTCCGGTTTTCTGAGTGTGCTGATTCTTGGTTGAGTACTTGTGAGTCAACTTAGTGAAATAAATGGTAGATTTAGAGGGCTTTTGTTTGAGCGTTGTGCTTGATACTGAATTAGTGTTGCCGTCAAAGTGAATTTATGGGCTCAAATAACTAATTCTTTGCCAATAGAGTATTTGGGCTTGGCATATCCAAAGGGCTTACACATAATTCTTTGCCAATAGAGTATTTGGGCTTGGCATATCCAAAGGGCTTACACATAATTTTATTAGGCTCTAAATTATATGCTTACCTCAGCGTAGGCAGACTGGATTTCTTGAAAAAAAACAGAAAAAAGTATCGAGATAAAAAAAAAATAATTGGCCACCCATCAATTATATTTCTCTAGTTTAAAAATAATAATTTTGTAATTAAGTATGGTGATAAAAATAAAAAATTGAAAATATGAAAATTAAAACTGTTTCTAGTATGATTGTATCACATAAACGGGCCGGGCCCGTGTAAGATGAAAAACAAAAAAAAGGCATTAAATGGGCCGGGCAAAATTAATTAAAAAAAATAAAAACTACTCGGGAATGGTATACAGTGTGGGTGCCCAGGACCGCCGAAGGTGAAGATGGGAGTAATCAACGGCGTGGATGAACCGAGACAAGACTCGGTCCACAGGTACGTCCTGCAGACGAGCACATTCTATAATTTCTTCCATCTGCCTCTTTGTGATCTTTAACTTTAAAGGAGGCGGAGGAGGAGGAGCACTTTTACCGTCATCTTTCTCCACCGTCTGTGGCGGCGGCGCGAGTACTGGTGACCATACCACGGCTGAATAAGAGTTGCCCATAATATAGATTATCTTATTATTAATTCTTTTGTATGTAGATGTATATAATTTTCAGTGTACGTACGTATGATATATCTGTGAATCTGGGTTTAGATTTTATTATTTCTCTTACAAGGGTGTAATGAAAATTGAAAAGAACTGGCTACTTATATATATACGCATGATGTTGTAAGAAACTGGGGACGAAGTCAACACGTACATTAGAAATATCAAAATGAGGACTGTTTTACCATCTTTCTGGAGGGTCAACTGAATAAAACGATTTTTCCTTTTTACTTTTTTTTTTTTTCTTTTTTATTGATTTGAAATGGTCAGTAAATTCTAGATGATTGTTTTCATTCTAGAATTTCAGAATCTATAGTATATATAGACTAAATTACGGTCGAACCCCCTCAGGTAAGTTAAATAATGGGAAAAAACTCATTATGTTAGGATAATTACAATAACCTCCCTCAATAATGAATTTTCTTACACATGCACCATTATAGTTTGTCAAATTCAGCAGAATCTTTGAGATTCTGTAGAATTTTATCCAGTTTGTACTCGTCTTATGCAATTTTTTATGCACCACAATCTAATATTTACAAGCCAATAGACACATCTTATAATCATATTTTTTCAATATGTGAAGCTTAAACCGAGTATAATCTAGAGAATATTCTACATAGTCTAGAAAATTCCACTAAATTTAACGCAACGAAAATGGATGTGTAATTTGACCCGAACATTATAGATATTTTAGTAATTTGACTTTACCTAATTTTCCCTACTAAATAAATATATATTTGAAATGGGGATGCAAGATATAAAATATGGCAACCCATTACACAAGTGTGGATGATAGTGCGTCGGATTTGTCTCGGCCCAAAAACTGAGGCTCGTGTCTCCTTCCCCGGCCTTTTTTCTTTCTCTTTGTTTTTTTATTCAGTTGTTTGTTTTTATGTTTTTTTATAGTGTAAATTACAAACACCCCTGTGGTATGGTGAAATTACAAAAACACCCCTCTTGTTTGGATAATTACAACCACCTCCTCAACTTCTCAAATTTAGTGGATACTTCGAGATTATATGGAATATTATCACTTTTGTACCCATTTTATCCCATTCAAACTTTACATTATGAAGCAAGATGATCATAAAATGTGATTTTTAGCTTGTATATATCAGTTTGTGGTGCATCGAAAACTATATTTTTACACAAAACGAGTACAAACTAGAGCACATTCCACGGAATCTAGATGATTATGTTGAATTTGGCACCATAAGGATGGATGTGTAAGAAAAAATCATAGTTGAGGGGTAGATGTAATTATCCAAACAAGAGGGAGATTTTTGTAATTTGACCATACCTCAGGGGTGTTTGTAATTTACCCTTTTTTATATTATTTATATAAGGTTAAATTTACATGAAATTTTAATTTTTACATTTGTATTTGAATTTTGAGTATTATCCATCTTATTATAAAAGTATTCATTATTATTAGATAAGAGTGTGACGGTTGAAGGCGAGGGGAGGCGGAGGCCCCGGGAACCGGATGGAGGTGGCGGCCTAAAATGGCGCATGAAATTAAGTGTAGATAGTAAATACAGAGGACAACTACATCACAACATAGTGATGCCTAAACTCCCTCCCTCTCTCTCTACTCTCTCTCTAAAAAGCTCTCTCTATCTCTCTCTGTCTCTCACACACAGTTTCACACACTCTGCTCTCTTATTTCGGTGTGACGTTTGTACTTGAATGCATTGACAGACAACACTCACTCGACAAATTCACCTTCTACACTGAAAACTAGGACACACACACACACACTCAGTCGTACGTGTTTAATTATATACGCAGGGCATTACGTACATTCCAAAAATTTCAATTTCATCTTTTCGTTTTCCTCAATTACTAATTAAAATTAATAACGGAATCCAATAATTTTGATGGGCGGTCATCAGCAAGTTAACGGTGGTGATCTGCGTATTCGCCGGCGGTGGAACGGAAATTGCGGAGGCAGACGAGAGTGGGGTGGATCAAGTGATCGGCTCGCTTCCACTCCTTCTCTCGAGTGGAAAATTCGCGGCGGCGCGGCGGCGGCGGTTTCCGCCAGGAAGCTCGGCGCCTGTCTGTGGAAGCTGACTGCAACAACCTCCGGCGGCGGTGGAAACTTGAGGTGGCAATATGGGCTATTTGATCGCCGCCAATTTCAGGTACCTAATTCCATTATTTCCTCGAATATTTTTTTTTTTTTGCAATACGGATCATACTAATTTGCAGTTGCATAAATGCTGAATTGGAACCCTAATTTGATTTTAGACTAAGCCAGTCTTTTTGTGTAAAAATTGCCTTACTCTTTGCAATTAATTACTCTGGCTTTTGCTTGTAATTATCTTAATTAGTTGACTAAATTTTCGACGGAGGAAGCTACAAAATGGGATTTCCCCAACTGGAAAGAAGTCGGTTATTCTGGCAGAAGATATAAGAAGAAGCCTACTTCAATGGCTTCTGCTGAATTGTTGAAACCTCAAAACCCCCTAATTGAACTCGAAAAGAACCGTAATCGAACGAGAGCAAAAATCGAACACCGAATGAAGAAGGTCGACGAAGAAGAAAGGGGATCATGGATGATAAGAACAGAACACCAGAACTTAGTTGATGGTGTTAAAAGGGAGAGAAGAAAATGCAAAGAGATGAAAATCGTCAACTCCAAGTTGCTTCTTGATATTGCCGAGGCCAAGTTATCGGCCAAGAAATTATCGGTAAATATCGAAAAGGAGAAGAAAGCCCGAAAATTATTGGAGGATTCGTGTAATAATCTGGTCAAACAAATCGAAGGCAACAAAGCAGAAATCGGGGGCTTGATTCATCAAAGAACGAGAATGCAAGAGGAAGTTGATCGAGAAAGAAAAATGATGCAATTAGCCGAGGTTTGGCGTGAAGAACACGCCCAATCGAAACTAGTTGATGCAAAGTTGATTTTGGAAGATAAATTAGTCGAGATAAACAGTCTCATAGCTGATCTTGAGGCCTTTTTGGTCAATGCATATTCAGTTACGGAGGCTAGTGAAGTTTCGTCAGAAAAACCACTGAAGAAGAAGCTTCGGAAGAAGAAGAAAGAATCGTGTGCTAATATTAATAAGGTTGAGACGAACTTGCCAAGAAATAAAGACGTGTGCAAGAAAATCCTCATGGATCGAAACCCGCACGTGGTTCGAGCTACGAAAGGGCGTCGCCCTATTGAGTGGCCGCGAGAAATTCGGAGGGAGGGCGAGAACCTTCTAGAAGCTAAGTTAGAAAGTCAGAAAATGCTTGTCCGAAATGTACTCAAACAGAGGAGGTAAATATGTTGATGATTTTCAATTTTAACATGAAATGAAATTGAAGTTTCTAAAGATTGTGTTTTGAGTTATTGAACGTAAGCACCCGAAGCACACATACACATGTGGGTGTGTGTGTTTGTGTGTCGAAAGGGGTCCCTTTCTCTCAAACTTCCATAGTAAAAGGCCAAATGACTAAAGCAAAGACAAAAGGAAATATTTTCGTGTCAACTATTATCGAATATAGGACATTTCTGTCCTTGAAAAACAAAAGTATCCGAGGAAATAATAATTAATTCCCTATTTTTTAAATAATAATTCCGATTAAAAACATAATAAAAATAATGATAATTACAAATGCAAGTGCCCGGTGAATAATGGGTCAATACATTACAGAACCCCCACAGTTTAAAAAATGGCCCAATAACTTAATCCTCACCAACAATTGGACTTATTATGATGTATTTTTAAGCAACATTCTAAATGGAGGCCCCTTTTGCAAATTAAAATTTTATGGTGTAAAAGCCCATAAAATGATCCAAATGTGTGTGTGTGTGTGTGTGAGAGAGAGAGAGAGAGAGAGAGAGAGAGAGAGAGAGAGAGAGAGAGAGAGAGAGAGAGAGAGAGAGAGAGAGTTAGGACTCCCAGTGAACTCTGAAAGGCCGAAGATTCTCCAGCGAATAGTACTAATGATTATTATTGTTGAAAAATTAGTTTAAGTGGAATTTATTCACTAATTGTCATATAATAAGATGTTTAATCTCAGCAGATTCTCAAGGTACCATGATTATGGACTATACTAGAGCATTAATTGTACTGTTTAGTGCCAAATGTTTCTGGAGCAGAGGATTTGACAGGTCATCAATTATGTGGCCGTGTACAGACTGTGATTGCTCATCAATCATTCATCATATTATTTCCAACTTTTAAGCTACATTATATTTGTTCACTGATTAACTTCTCTGTTCATTAAATCTAATTTGATGTTTGGTTAGTTTAACAATTTTTTATCTTAATTTATAGAAAAAAAATATATATATGATCTGAGGAAAGTTCATTAGTTGGTTACTTATACCCCATCGTTGATAATTGATATGATTTGATTGAAAAAACAGATGATAATAATTCCCCTAGTCGGTGATCGTCGTCCAGTCACGTTATTGTATATAAACACATGATTTTTGTGATTGAATTTTGCTCGATTAGTTATTGAAATTAATCGGCAATACTTTTTTGAGTTGAATCGGTCGATTACCAGCTTAAAAATCAATTAAGAACTACGGTGGAGTTAAGTGACTAAAATCAAAATTAGAAGGGGGTGAAGTGTCGAAACGTGAAACCTTAGGGGATTATATGCTATTTACCCTTATTATTTTTCATACTTGATTCTTGTTCATAAAATAATTAGAAAAAATATTAAATACAGAAAAAATGTAATTAAAAATAAAGAAATGAAACTTGATGAAATGAATTAATGTTGATACTGGTGATTAGGTTCTTGTTCTTTTAGGTTGTCATTTCTTATGAATGGACACGAGTGGTGGGCCCCACCTCTCATCCTTCATTAGATTCCATTTCTCTCATCTGTTCATCTTCTGTCCTATATATATATATATATATATATATATATAAATTAATTACTACTATTACCCCTCCACGCTTAAAATTAATGACATGGCGATGCTGATATTACTTCACATCTACATCTTCACAATATTAATTTTTAATTTTCTTTCTTAAGTTTATTATTATTATTATAAAACGGAACTCATATTTACAAGCTATATATAATTTAAAGTACTGAATATTATTAACATTGTGAGTGCAAATTTTTTTTTTCAAAATTAAAATCGGATCAAAAAATCGATCGTAATCTTCCAAAATTAATTTATATTTTATTTATTATTTCATGATAAAAAATAGTTGGATCAGAATTGAGTTCCAATATTCCATCCTATGTGGAGACAACTCAAAATTCCTAAAAAGTTTGAGGACTGCTTTTCTTAATAATCTATATTTGCCTTGTCATTTTGCAAATATTGATAAAGAAAGGTTACAAGGTCTGAGATTCATTGCCCCAATGAAGAGAAGCAAATGGTATATTCCAAGTAGTTGACAGTTTGGAACTATTGAGTTCTGATATTGTGATTCATTTTATGTGAATAATTAGTAATTACATAAATTAGATGTTATTTACTATTTCAAACAGGGTGAGTTCTATGCTACACCCGATAAATGCTACGCTGAATGATTTTTTACCGATGATCCACTCGTGCATATTATATGATTACATTGAACATGTACTCGTTTTCTATAATTATAATCGTGTAAGCTAGGGGCGTAGGAGTAAATAAAAATTTGTGCAAATTAGAAGGGGATGGAATGGACCCTCAGAATTTGATTGTGAAATGGTGATAAGGTTTTTCGTTTATTTTCGGAGATGACAAGTTATTTTCATTTTTTTCTGGACCCTCCAATTAATTCTGAGCCGTCCAATATGCCTCTCGAAAGAGACTCTCCTTCATCTTCCACATCCTAATAATTAATAATGGCTTCGGGTTTTTAATTAGCCTAATCGAGTAATTAATTAATTAACTAATTAACCAACTTTCTTTCGATCAATTTGGCGCATGCTTTCTCGTCTAGTCTTTCGTATAATTTTGTCGATTATAAATAACACTGGATCGAATTGAATTTACCGATTTCTTAGTAAAACGGAAAAAGAAGAAGAGCAACGAGTTCGGGAAAGAATTAACTTTAGTTACCCTAATGTAATTGCACAGCATGGCCACATCTCAAACTTTTTGTGACATCCTGGGAGCCAACGTGGCACAGATGGTGACCTGTGAAGAATGTGGGGCCCACGCTTCGACGCAGCCCATCCACGTGTCGAATTGCGAAAGGATCGGTGATGAATAGGATGTGTGAACCCAATGTCCACGTGCCTTGTAGGGTCAAGATAGAAATTTCGAAAGCCACACATTTCACCTAGTAGTCTTAATTTCAAACCTCAAGATAAAGTAATTAAATGCCACTAACTGCTTCAAGACTACACACACTCCTAGTAATTAATACTAATTTCATGCCTCTAATCATCATTTTTGACTAATCCATTAACTTCTCGTAAAGAATTTTTATATAAGTTTCACCTTTAAAATAATATAATGAAAGAATAATAGCAAAAAAAAAAAAAAACCCCACAATCATTTATACATTGCTGATGAGGACCCGATCGGCCCGTTCGATAGATGGGCCGAACTGGTCCTACAATGGTCGAGTCGAGCTCGACTCGTAGGCCTGTTAAATAAGTAGGACTTACTGTGCTGTATACACTAGTAGAAAAATGGATTTTTACTACGATCATTAGCCGTAGCAAACGGTATCAAATTCGTACTAAAAAGGCATTTGCTACGAATTTGCCCCGTAGCATATACGGGCGTGACAAAAGCTTTGCTACGGTAAATGGTCGTACCAAATATTTTTTGCTACGGTAAATTCTAGTATTTACTAAGACTTCAAAATTGTTTCGTAGTAAAAAGTACATTTTGTAACGGTTTTTTTACTGTAGCAAAAAAATTCGTAGTAATAAGCAAATATTCTACTAGTAATATAAATATAAAGTAAGAATAAGATAAAATTGGATATATGCAGTGATATATATTTCTAATTAAGCAAAAATAGTTGGTATAAAATATATAATATATATAGAATCCAAATTAATTAGTTAAATTTAGAAGTGGAAAGTGTCAATGTGTCATCAAAACTTCCTTTATTTGGTTTTACAATTATAATGAATTAGATGCATATAAATAAATCCTCGTATTTAAGACACACTTGTATAAGTTCTGTTCAATCTGACAGGACAATCTCAATTTGTTATAGTAATTACAAACAAGCACGTGTCTCGGACGCGCCTTTAGTAGCTGGAGTTTCTCACTAAATAATTAATTAATCATGCATCGTTTTTGTTTTTGGTTTTACAGTTTCGTGGTCGTCTTCCCAATTAATCTCAACATACATACATGGTTGCCTTGTCCTTATTGTGGCATTCATGAAATTCAGACAAAATGAAACCCAAATACAAATGAAATTCATGTATGTGGCCCCATCCATTATGCATTAAACGCTATATATATATACATCCGCAGTTCAGTCTCTGTAAATCAGCATTATATTTACACACTTATGTAAACACAACATTCAATTCACAGTTACATATATCATTACTTTTTTTTTGTATTCCGGTAGAAATTGTTTTTTTTTTTCCATACACAAATCAAGATTCCGGCGAAAATCGGTCGGAACTCGGACGAGTCAAGAGTTTTGGTTATAAACTCGGCTTTTGTGAACAGTTAATGGCCAAGGGTCGAAAATTAACCACCAGTCGCAGTGAACTCTTTCTAGGAAATTCCGGCTACAATTACCAGGTCCAAGGAGCGGGGGACACTGCGGCGGAGTTGGGAGAAGAAGACGTCTGGTCGGCGGCGGCCGACGACACGGTCGACGGCGATGATCACTCGGAGTATGGAGGGTTCAGCTCACGTGCCTCCACCCAGAGTAACGGAAGCTTCAGCAGCAGCTACAGAAGCCACCGCCAAGCTTCACGCGCCGACGGCCACCAGGTGGGCGGCCTGTCGTTTGCCTTCGACAACTTCGGCAACACAACCTCACCGCAGACGATCCTGCACCAATACCACCCGCAGGGCAGCGCGGCGGCGCAATCTCCACGTGGGCGCCACGTGGCCAACTCTGCCCCAGTGAATGTCCCAGATTGGTCGAAGATTTATCGGGTCAACTCGGTTGAGTCGTTGCATGACTCAGATGACTACTGCTTCAACGAGCCGGATCTCGTCCCGCCACACGAATACCTGGCGGCGCGTGAGTACGCAAGCAGCCACAAAATGGCGGCCTACTCCGTTTTCGAGGGCGTGGGCCGGACGCTCAAGGGTCGGGACGCGAGCCGGGTCAGGGATGCAGTGTGGAGCCAGACCGGGTTCGATGGATGAACGACTATCAAATTTATGACGTTTGCTCATTTGGTGCGAATAAATAAATAATTAAAAATTAATTAATATAAGCATTCGGTATTTCAATGTTGTCATTAGTCAGTTATGAATTTTTATTTTTATTTTGGTCATTGGGCAATGAGTCAGACCAAGTGAGTGAACTTGGAATAGATTGAGCCCAAACTCGCAATTTTTCTATTATTATTTATTATTATATCGTGCCAAAAAAAGGATAAAGCGTGATTTGGGATCAAGCACTTTTAATTAAGACAAAAATATGGTACATTTTGGATTACTTTTTAACTGTCACTGGGCATATAGTATCTGACAAATTGTAACTAAAAAAATATGGGCACTAAATTTTTTTCAGACACACACACACACACACAAACACACACGAGCCTAGGAAACAGGGAAACATTAAATATAGGTTTTATAAAATGTCAGAAATGTTTGCATGAAATCTGAGATGTGAAACAGTTCACAAAGTCAGGCTAAAAAAACAATAATACTTATATTCATTAATTCCAACATTATTGGACCACAAAATACTTGTATTATTAGAAAGTGACAATTACCTACTCATCACTTGTAATACTTTAATTTGGCCGTTTGTGTTTATTAATTGTACTATCTAATTAATTGTTACCTTACTACAAGTTCATGAACTAGATCTACTAAGTCAATTGACATTAATTAATTAAAAACACAAACTTTAGTATTGAACTAATTAGAGTAAAAATTAATTATGGTTTGGAATTAATCCCCAGCTCCCAATCCAATGGAGCTAGGACAAATAAATAAAATTATTAATATAAAAATAAAATGAAATAAAGAAAGTGAATTTAATTGGAAAGTGAAAGATGACGTGGATGCATGAAAGGAGCAAGTGGGAGTAAATGGGGGTTGTATGTGTAATAGTAGATTGAAAGCTGGAAGAAGCAATAATATTGAAAGGTAGATACCTTCTTGCTTACCTTTTTCAAGAAAATGATAGTTGTCCCCATTTATTGCTTACTGCTCCTCTATTTTTCAATTTCTCCACTATATTAAAAATATTTTCTAATTTTTATTTTTTTGGTTGGGACCATACTCCACCCATTTGGTCACATATTAAGTTAAAATACTATAAAGGACAATACCTATATAATTTGAAAAAAAAAGAAGAAAATATCAAGTTGGAAATCGGACGATTCGGATTGAAACTTGCAGTTTCAGAGGAAAAAAAATGGAAAGACAAAAATATAAGATTCGAAAGTTGAAATAAATAAAAAAATAAGATTCAGAAAGTTCGAATCATCAAAATTTGCGGGCTACCGGTTTTATCGATTAACAAGGAATTCATCGCAGAGAAAAAAAAAACCCACAAAACACAACAATAGCAAGTTCACAACAATTAATGGGAGTGTGGATAGATGATTTTGTAAGGACATATTTTGCTTTGTGGTTGAGATGAATGGTAGCCGTTGATTGGGTGAGCAGTCCACGATAGACAAGTGTTCCCCACCACACTAAATTGCGCATGGAACTTGATATGTATATAGTTGATGCTACATTGATTGATTTATCAACTTTTTCATATATATATATAAATATATTTTAATAGTATTTATTCCTAGAGTGAAATATTAAGTAAATCGAACATGTTCGAAAAATGGAGACAGAGTAGTGCAAGTTGGTTTGGAATTGCGTGGCCAATTAGGAACCTGGAAATTGAACATATATAAAGGTGGTCATGCCAAATAAATTCAGAGTCTGGTCCAAATTTAAATTAAATTAAATTAAAGTCCATCTCTCTCTCTCTCTCTATATATATATATATAATTGAATTTTGAGAGGAGTGTATATTATTTGGGCCTAAATGAAAGGCCTGCTTGAGTAGCCAGCTCATCATCTAATATTTTTTTAAAGCCCATTCTGCAACTTATTAGCCACTTAATTAACTTGAGATTTAAGGGTTTTATGTCGTAATTAATTGCCTTCAATAATTAGCTTCTTGTGGTTGACTTTTTTTAGTCACTTAATAGGAAGTCAACCCATGGAAATCTGTGCCTTTGCCTTATACTATGTAACACTTAAGGAATGTAGTAGTAACTGTTAAGCCACCATGCACTATACCAGCAGCACTAATGAAATCATTTTTTTTTTAATATGATTTCAAAAGTCTTCAATTTTCCTGCAATTTTTTTTTTTAAATTTGTTCAATGAATTTCCCTGCAATTTTATTATGGTCAAACTATATATGGATTGGTAATTAATAATTATATTAATTATTAATGGGGTCGGGTGTATTAAATTCAGGAAGACTATGGGTTGGTATAAGCAAATTCCCAGTTTAAGTGCTGTTTTTGGGTTTTTATTATTTTACAACCAAGACAAGGAAATTAATTATAAGCCTAAAATTGGCGTCCAATTCATTAATGAAAATTAGTTGGTTTGGTAGTTATCACATGCAATGCAAGCATATTATATATATATATAATTTTGAGAGTCTTGAAATTACATAATTAATTGATATAAGATCCAACCACTTTTCAGAACATCATCCTCAAATTTGTCGGACCTCTTGTTTGTTTGTTGCTGCATTTGATATTTATGATATTAATTAGTAAATTAACTTTACATGTAATATTTGGAAAAAATATGTGAATAAGAGAAATTGTTAGAGATAAGATTCAAGACAACTATGTATGAAAATGAGACTCTGTGATGGATGTGTGAAAACCAGACCAAACACACACAGACACACAAAAACAGTGAAAACATATATATAAAAGGAGCGAGAGATACGCTAATCACGTGACCTGCATGTGAGTCACGAAACCACAGTACGTGAAGAAGAAAAAAAAGGCAGCACCATGGACTTTAATGCAATGCCCTTATAGCACCTTAGGTGGTTGTAGCCATATGCTGCATGTATCTATCTATCAATATTGTTTTATCGTAAAATTTTACTCGAATTCGATTTTTTTTATCAATATTTCTTAAGTCGAATATGTTTTAAATATCTCGTGTGATTTGAAAGTTAGTATACGAGACTAAATTTACCCAACTTTATATTTTGTTATTTGAGTTTCCACACCAAGAATAAAAATATATATATTTAATTCCCTTATACAATATATAATAAAAAAATAAATATATATATATATACATATATTTAATTTAATGGGGATGAGAGTGGGGCCCAGTTCATAAAATATGTACAGCTAATGTAGAATTACTGCTTTTGTCCCCACTCACTTAAGCAGCTCATTCATGGCTGCCCCAACCCTCTTCATCTCTACCCACATCCCTCTCTTTACTCTTCTTCTCAATTTCCCCCCCGAATCTTTTCTTTTTTTCTCCCTTGAGCTCCAATTCCAATTCTCCTTCGTAAATTCTCTTACATTTCTTTTTTCTGCTTCTTCAATTTCGCTGCATTGTTAGCTAATTTCATTTCTCTGGTGCTGGAAGCAAGCTGGAATGGCGGGAGGCCCGGCCCGAATTGTCAATCTATTTGCTCTAATTGAGCTCATGCTTCTTCTTTGTGAGTATTTATTTATATATAGCTCCTTTTCTTTTAAAATAATTTTTTTTTTCATTGGGTCATGGTGCTCTGGTTCTTTGCAATCTTAAAAATGCTTGATTTCTCAAGAATCTTACTGGGTTTTTGTTTGTGATTAATAATTAGGGTTTTTTAAGGGTAAAATTCCCTCTTTTTTTTTTTTTTTTTTTTTTTTTTTGAAGATTAGAATTTTGGAATGCTGTTGTCCTAAAGGCTTGAGTTGAATTTATGTTTTAACTTTAGTTTATTTGGTGTGTGGATTCTGCGTTAATTACTGCATTGGCTGTCTTAAATCTTAAATTGCAATCAAATCTTAACAATTTACTTACAGATAATATAATTTTACATAGGTTCTTTCGGCGTGCTTATAGCCCGAGTTTTACGGATTGGGATTGTGTCGATTTCTGCTAGGATAAGAACACTTTAGGGTTTTGAATTGGGGATTTCGTTAATGACTCTTCTTTTTAGTCTCGAGGGTTATCTAATTATCTTGACATTTCATATACTAATCGATAATTTAATTTAATTGCATTGGCTGATGTTGCATTGCTTATATCTTTTAACCATTTCTGCCTTCATCATGAAGATAGATAATCATTCAGTTACAGTCCTCTGACAATCGACTTAATTTATAGCAATCGAGTGTACGTATGAAGACTTCTATAATTCCGTTAAAACTTTTTTATTTGCATTTTGGTCTTTGCAACGAATATTTCGACAATTTAAATTAGAATAACACGATTTCCGGCTCGAACCAATGGTAGCCAATAAAATCATCCCTTTTTTTTTTTGTCGTTATACAACAATTTTAAGGAATGAAAATGCCAACTAATTCCGGTGAATTCTCCTTTTTTTTTTTTGAATTAATTCATTTATGTCGGATACTTGCTATATTTACAGGTACGCACAAATCATTTTGCGTCTCAATGACGAATTCCAAAAGTTCGATACAAGCAGACAAAAAAGCAGACGTACTTTTACCGTACACTTCTCCAACCGCATCTCCTCAGCCCTTTCTCCCTCTTCTCGCACCATCTCCATTAACTCCCTTCACAAACAGCACAATCCCCCAATTATCCGGTTCGTCTTTATTTACTTTATTTAAAAAAAATTATCCATATATACGTCAAATCCACGTCATCGCATTAATTTCAAATTCCCGTTTTTTTCCACAGGACTATGCGTGCTGAACTTCACTTCCCTCACAAACATGCTGACAGTGACATCAACCGATTGCATGGCGGCATTCGCACCGCTCTTGGCAAACGTAGTGTGCTGTCCACAAGTCGAGGCTACTTTGGTCATTCTCATCGGCCAATCCAGTAAATACACAAACACCCTTTCTCTAAACGGGACCACATCAACCCACTGCCTTTCCGATTTCGAGCAGATTCTTGTGGGCCAGGGTGCAAATGACAGCCTGTCGAAGATATGCTCTGTCCATTCTTCGAATCTAACGGAAGGTTCTTGCCCAGTCAGCGATGTTTCCGAGTTCGAGAGCACAGTAGATTCGCCCAACCTTCTCGCTGCATGCGAGAAGATTGATATTGTGAATGAATGCTGCCAGCAAATCTGTCAGAACGCTATTCTAGAAGCTTCTAGAAAGCTCGCTCAGAAGGCTTACAATCTCTTGACCCTCGGCGAGACCCACGCGCTTTCGGATCATTCGAGTAGGATTAATGACTGCAAAAGCGTCGTGCTGAGGTGGCTCGCGAGTAAACTCGCGCCTTCTCGAGCGAAAGAAGTTCTTCGAGGGCTGTCCAATTGCGGAATCAATAAAGGTGAGATTTTTAATACGAAAAAAGGTTATAGCATATTGTTTAGATGTTTTTTAACTGAAAAAAAAATACCGTGTTCGTCAGTGTGTCCTTTGAAGTTTCCGAATTTGGACCATGTAATAAAAGGGTGTGGCGGTGGAATAAGTAATCGTACGGAGTGTTGCGGTTCTTTGGAGAGTTACGTTTCTCACTTGCAGAGGCAGAGCTTCGTGACGAATTTGCAAGCTCTAAATTGTGCTGCGTTGCTCGGAGTGAAATTGAGTAGAGCGAATATTACCGAAAATGTGTACAGCCAGTGCCGTGTTAGCCTCAAAGATTTCTCTCTTCAAGGTTAGTTTGGCTTTTACCACTTATCTAATGAAATATCCATTTTTCGAGGTGGAAAATCGAGTTAACACGAAGCTAATGGTTTGTTGTTTTTGTCATGCTGGTCTCGTCTCGCAATCCTGGTCCAGTTGGTGCTCAGGGTAATTTTCTTAAATATTTTGTGCTTTAAAATATTTTCTTATCATCAGATTATATATGATGTTTACTTGGTTTATTGAAAATATATGTTTTTTTTTTATTATTAATTTGGGAGAATAGAATCGGGATGCCTATTACCGAGCTTGCCATCGGACGTAGTGTTCGACAGAACAACAGGTGTTAGCTTCGTCTGTGATTTGAATGATAATATTCCAGCTCCTTGGCCTGCTTCCTCTCAGTTACCACCTTCATCATGCAACAAAAGTATGGACAATTATTTTTATTTTTTCAGAATTATTACTTACAAACATAATAAACCTTTTTTTCTTGCAGCAGCTGTCAAAATTCCTGCCCTTCCTGCAGTAGCTTCTGGTCAAACCAGTAAGTTCCGGGTTTTTTTTTATGACTATTATTATTTATTTATTTTTTGCACTATTATTTCACTTTTTTTATATATATATATTTTAATTACAGGTTTCGACAGCTCAGACATGAACTCGTTTCTGTATTTAACGGTGTTAGCTGCTCTCTCGATTCTCATTTAGCTTTCAGTAGAATGATTCGACTTTTGATTGATGAGAATTACTAGAGATTTGCTCAAAAACATGGAAGTCCATTAGATCAAAAACAAAATGGTCAACGTTCGAGCTAGGTGGGCCCCACCTGCATTCAGGTCCGGCCGGTTACTCATGTCTCAAATTTACTCCGGTGACTATTTTATGGTTTAGATTTCTTATAGTTTTACCATATATATTATATATAATTCTTGTGTGCTTGTGTAATAAGAATTTTTTGTAAAGGAGGATGAAATATAATTCATGTAAGAAAGAATCTATAAAATTTATATATTACCATGTAGATTTTTAGTTTGGATTGCTGAGGAGCAAAGAATTTTCTTGCCCTAATGAAAACATAGACCTACTGTAATGAGGTAATAAGAGAGAATTAATGCTTAACAATAATAATAATAATAATATAATTGAAGCAAAAAGGGTAAAAATAGTAAAAAATGCATCTATGCAAATATAAATTTTCTAATCGTAATTTCTAAAATGACAAATAATATGGAATTAGGCTTCAGGGGGTACGTAGAAACGGCCACGACACTTGCATCTCCATACTTCTGGGTAGAAATTCTCGTCGGTACCGACGGCACCTGGCGGATGATAACGAACAAGAACCAGCGTACACGGCTCGCAGCCCTCGCAGACACCCTGGCAACTCGGCGGCTCCGATGACTCAACCCCAATCAACCCAGCTCCCTCTCCTGAAGTACTCTGCTGCTGCCACGTGCCTTCTTGCATGTGGTCATTCATATTCGACCCACAGACTACAAAACCAATATAGAATGCGGTCAAACAGATGCAACACAAAAGCTTCTTCATCGTACAGATCAAAATGATTTTTAATTTTTAGTTTCTTTTTTAGTTGTGGGGATGTGTAATATATATAATAAATAATAATGGAGAGATTAAGGTTGTAATGACGAGAATAAATCGTGTTTCCTTTGCAATTTTAGGGAAGGGAATATTGATGTTTACAATGAAAAATCATTTAGTAGATTTTGTAGTTCTAAACAAGGAATTAAGATATACATATTGAAGGAAAATAATCTATAAAGTGATACGGTCCTGCATGGAACAAATAATTTAGTACGTTTTTATCGAGTCGGGACCAAAGATATTATTATTTATTATCCAAACGAGATTATTAATTTATCGAGTATTAATTTATTGAGATTCTACTGTAATGCACTTGAATTGTATTTAGATATGAAATTTTGGATTTGGCAAATAATATTAAATTATTTTAAAACACGTAAAATTTTGAAATCTATCAACAAAATTATTCCAGAATACACAATGATGGTTGGTTCCTTGCGGGCACCAGGTCCGGATCCGCGCCGCTGAGTTATCATGATTTACATTCATCAATCATATACTTGTCGGGCCAAAAGGATGGGGCCGAAAAATTTCTCTTTTTTGTTACAAATTCTAAATTTTACAGATATCTAAAAAAACGCCCATTCCAGTAATTTCGGGCCCAAAGGCCCATTAATGTCACTACTGTTATCAATAATCATTGTAATTTTGTGCGTTTAGCTAGTGGCTGACTGTTATATATATTTTCATATTTTACTAAAAAAAATTCGGGCAACTTTGTTAGGAAAATTAGACAAAAAATAGTTATTTTAGACTGAAAATACTTTATTATCCTTCAATTCACTTGTCTTCAAAATAACATCCATTCCAATACGTTATTCTGCCTCTTCCTACCATTAACCCGGCCTACGACCCTCTAAACTCCTGCCTCTTCCTACCAATACCCGGCCGACGACCGTCTAAACTCCGCCATAACATTATTGTTAAAATATTATTTTCATCTAAAATGTTTATTTTCGGTCCAAATTTTCCAACTAGCCAGTCTATTTAAATAAAATAAAGGATGTATATTTTTATGGTGAGTGAGTCAAAGATATTCCACCATAGTGGAGATAAAAGGGGTTATCTTTGATTTTATGCCCTCTTCAAATAAGAAGTTCTAAATGGGCCACATCGACAGCTAGGCCCAGTTATAAAATTGCCCTTCAATACGTTATTTTCCAATATTAATAATAATAATTTAATATGGATAACGACACCATATTGCTCTTTGTTGCACTTCAAAAGTATCTCTTTAATTTTCTTCTATTGCATATTTCTTTTTTCGTATTTCAATTGTTATGATTCGAATTTGTATCAATCTACCGGAAGGTCTATTTACAAAAAAAACCTCTCATTTTTTTAATAATTACATTTACTCCCCTCTAATTTATAGATTTCTTCGAAGAAAGGTAACGGAAAAGTTGCTTTTACATTCTTTTAGGATGCCCACCTGATCAATGTAATTGGGATGCTGGTCTTTTCAAGAGATAATAATATTGACGAAATAGTACGTAGTATTACACTATTATTACTTTTACTCTAAATGAAAAAAAACACTCTATTAATTATTACTTTTATTTTAAATTTTATGAATACTTTCAATTAAAATTATGACATGATATTATTAAATGACAACAACTACTTCTCAGGATAATAATTAATAATAAAATTCTTTTTTTGAAAGAATTAATAATAGAATTCTACGTACACAAACTTTGTCATTGGACTTGTAAATTCTATTTTTGGTGAAGTTCATAGCAATGTAATTTATTTATTTACACGTATAATTAGTGTGTGTGTATATATATATATATATATATATATCATTTCAACACCAACGTTTTCTCACACAATACACACGCTCACAAAAGCTGGCATGGAGCAATTTGCGGATGAGCATAACCAATTACAAGCGCCTGATCACTCAATGCACCAGTCCTCACCGGAAACGCCGCCACCGCCGCCCGCCGCCGCAACTCACTCCAGTTCCGAGCTGGAAAAGGTGCTGTCAGACACCGATTTGCCATTTTTGACGCGGTATAAGAAGGCCACGTGGATCGAGTTGAGACTCCTGTTCAAACTCGCCGCACCGGCCGTGATGATGTACATGATAAACAACGCCATGTCCATGTCCACCCGCATCTTCTCCGGCCACCTCGGCAACCTGGAGTTCGCCGCCGCCTGCCTCGGCAACCAGGGCATCCAATTGTTCGCCTACGGCCTCCTCGTAAGTTCAATTTTTTTTTTACATTATCTCTAATTTTAATCCCGATCGATACGACGTAGTTTTAAATTTAATTTATCAATCCTGCAGCTAGGAATGGGGAGCGCGGTGGAGACGCTCTGCGGTCAAGCGTACGGCGCGCGTCGGTACGAGATGCTGGGCGTGTACCTGCAACGCGCCACCGTGGTTCTCATGCTATTCAGCCTCCCGATCGTGGCGGTGTACCTTCTATCGAGGCAGATCCTCCTATTAATCGGCGAGGAGGAGCAGGTGGCGACGCCGGCGTCGGTGTTCGTGTACGGACTGATACCGCAGGTGTTCGCGTACACAATAAATTTCCCGATCCAGAAATTCCTACAGGCGCAGAGCATAGTGATGCCGAGCGCGTTGATATCACTCGCGACGCTTGGGGTGCACCTGGTGGTGAGCTGGGTCGCGGTGTACAGGATCGGGCTAGGGTTACTGGGAGCTTCGCTGGTTCTGAGCTTGTCGTGGTGGATAATAGTAACGGCGCAGTTTGTTTACATTGTGAACAGCCGTAGATGTAAGGACACGTGGACGGGGTTTAGGTGGGAGGCGTTCGCCGGAGTTTGGGAGTTTGTGAAGCTTTCGATTGCTTCGGCGGTGATGCTGTGCTTGGAGACGTGGTACTTTCAGGTACTAGTTTTGGTTGCCGGATTGCTTGAAAACCCCCAACTCTCCTTGGACGCACTTTCCGTATGGTAATTAAAATAATAAAATAATTGAATTATATTAGCTAGGTTGATTTATGTTTAAATCGATTAAATCTCGTTTAATCACACGCTTATGCAGCATGTCAATAAATGGGCTGCTGTTCATGGTTGCAATCGGATTCAATGCTGCTGCCAGGTTGGTTCCCCTCCATCCCTTGACATCTTTCCACGTGTTTTTTTTTTTTTTTATTTGTCAAATATGCTAATTATATCTAAATTTCTAAATTGGGCTAACAATTACTTACAAAATTTATTTCATCGTCAGCATGGGATATATATATATATAACACAGAAATGCACATATGTTAAATATAGTTGAGTAGTGGTTAAGTTAAATTAAATGAAGGGGGTAAAGAAAAAAGTAGTAATTAATTAATTAATAATAAGAAAATGAATGGAAAAGAGCAGTGTGAGAGTGGGGAATGAGATAGGAGCAGGGCACCCAAAGTCTGCGGCATTCTCGGTGGTGGTGGTCAATTTAGTATCTTTCACGGTGGCGGTAGTGGAGGCAATAGTAGTCTTATCGCAACGCCACGTCATCAGTTACATATTCACCGGTGGCGAAACGGTGGCCAACGCCGTCTCGGACCTCTGTCCATTCCTGGCCGTCACCCTCCTCCTCAATGGCCTCCAGCCAGTCTTGTCCGGTAATACTTATTTCCCTCACACACACACACACACACACACACACATATATATATATATATACACATGCATGAGTACATTGAGTAGGAAGAGAATGTTTTGTATCATCATATGTTGACTCAGTTCTTGATAGCTTTTGAGTAGTTGACCTATAGTGGGAAGGTCAGCAAAAAGCCAAAATAACTAATACAGTGAGACAAAGATTTGATTAAAAATTACTTTAGTAATTTTTATTCATTTATTTTTTTATTTTTTTCTACTAGTTGATAATAATGAAAATGTTCAAAAATGAAGGGGTGGCAGTGGGCTGCGGATGGCAAGCATACGTGGCCTATGTAAATATAGGCTGTTACTACGTGGTTGGGATTCCAATTGGATGCCTTCTTGGCTTTAAATTCAACCTTGGTGTTAAGGTAAAATCAAATAAAAATTAAATAAATCGACATATTATAACAATAATATATAAATCCAAACTTAATACTTATGTTGGCAGGGGATTTGGACTGGCATGATTGGAGGAACTGCAATGCAAACTCTAATCTTACTCTGGGTAACATTTCGTACGGATTGGAACAAGGAGGTTAATTTTTTAATTTTTTAATTTGTTTGGTAGCAATATAAAATATGTCAGGTGTTAAATGAGCAAAATAATGAATATGGCAGGTGGAGAAAGCAGGTAAGCGTTTGGCCATGTGGGATGATATTAAAGAGCCACTCCTCAAGTACCACAAAGAGGTTGAAGAAATTAAAGATGCAAGCACACCACCCTAGGAGAGGGCTATCTCAAAGCTGGCATCGAGTACTCGATCGAATAATCGCGTTGCTATCGATATTTAGTGTTTACCGATATATATATATATATATATATATATATATATATATATATATATATATATATATATATATATTGTTTGAGGGGCATCGATATCTTATGATTCTGATTCGTCCATGATCAGTAGTTACTCGTAGGAATAAATTTCCAGGACGAAAAAAATATGGATCCATCATTTAACAAACACCAGCTAAAAAAATCTTACATTACTGGTCAATCTTTATTATTCTTCCACTATATAAGGAATCAGTCGAAAGGGGACAAATTGCTTTGGTATTACAAGAACTGGACCTCTGTATCGAAGAAACAGCTATCGAAAAAAATGGGAGAAACCACCACCATATAAGTGAAACGTTTTCATGTTTCAGTTGATATAATTAGCGCACGTCCATCCAGAAAGATGGTGTAGAGAGAGAACTTACAAAAGAATTTTGACACACGGTAAATCCACGTCATCAAGCGGTGATGGGTTTGGGTACTTTCTTGAACTTCAGCACTCGATACCGAAAAATCAATCAACTTGCATATCATCCCCTTTACTGCTTGAATCTGATTCTCTGCCAGCCTTTCGTTTGGGTGACGAAGACTTGGAACCAGTCACATGCTTGTACATCCTGAAACGCAATTCTCTTAAAAAAATGATAAAACGGAGAAAAACTATTTCGCTGAATCAATAACCGAGATTTTAAACATTTTTTTTTATCCAGGCAACAAGAATCAGATGTTTTTAGGTAATATTTCAGGTTTGGCGAAAAGATAAAGCGTTGGATTCAAACATTATAACTAATGATTTTTACGATTCCAAATTAAGTAATGGACTGTATATTTAAATGTCTACTTGGGTTGCCAGACATACTCATCAAGAGCCTTAGCTTTCCTTGAGATTTCACCAGACCAAAGTATAGGATCTGCATTCTTGGGCAGCATATCCTGCTGCTGGCTTTTTTCCCGAAGCCACTGCTCTGCTTTATTACATTCTCCGATTACCTTAAAAACATCAAAATTGAGATAATAGTCGCATCTTCTTAGGAATCATCCAAAAATAATATTTCCAATTAAAAAAAAAAAGGGAAAAGAGAAAGCATGCTAAGAACCATACTGCATCTCTTTCAGTCGGGGGAAGTGATCGTACAGCCATCCGATACTCAACTAGGCAATTTAATAGGTTTCTGGTGGCCAGTGCCCTGGCCTCTTCTTCTTTGTATCGGTCTTCAATTGGAACCACCATCTGATAAACATTTAAAAATGATCCAAGTAAGAGGAAACTATTAACTCAAGAAAGAGAAACAAAATAAACTAAACGAACCTTCTTCAGATTTTCTAATTTTTCAGTGTAAACATTTTCGGACTCACTGTCCCCGTCTTCATAAAGCCACTCCTCTGTTTGTTGCAAATTACTGCAAATCCCTTCCTTTTCAGAATCAGTGGCGAAACTCCGATATGAATTCAGAAGCTGTTAATTTTTTCACAAGTCCTTTATTAGATATTAAAATTGCCAAAAAAAAAAGGTAAAAAGACAACGATAGCAATTAACAGCATCGGACCAAAGCACAAATCAATATGGGCATTGACATTTTCATGCAACTATATACCTTGTTTCTTGTTTCGTACACATAAGCCTCGAGCGTATTTTTCTTCTCTTTGGTCCTCTCCATGTTTATGTCCTGCTGAGCCAACTGAAGCTCTTTTTCTTGAGCTTGGGAGAGCTCGCCCTGTGTCATTCCACCGTGTACAGTCTCGTCAATGAATATGTCCTGCCTTCTAATAGCCTTTAGCCTTCTCATTTCATGACCCTGCAAAAGAAGATCGTGATACTTTGACACTAATACAGCTTTCGTGAGATTAATATTAGGTAATCAACTGGACTTACAAAAGGACCATTTGCTTTGTCAGAGGACTCATGATTGCTTGGTTCAAAATTTTCTGAATGAATATCAATTCTGTTGTTTACAGTAGAATCATCAACTTGATCATCTACCAGCTGCAGAGATAATACGAATTTCCAGTAAAATTTGGCGTCACAACGTCAAAAGTTCCTAACTTGATACGAATAACACATAAATTCATACTTACAGAGGCAGATTCTATAGAAAAAATTCCGTGGAGGTTTAGCTGAAGTTTAACCTTAATCTTCGTCCTCTCCTCATGAGAAACTCTGAACGGTCCGATCTGAAATGAGGGCCAGATAAACAAAATATTGATTAAAACAATCTCCCGATATTCACTGAAAAAAATTGAAAAGTTCAAAGTTACTTCGACTAATAAAGGTTGAATGTTGTGTGCATCTAGCCTAGATGCGTGCATCCATAATAAGAGCCAAATCGACAGTTCATGCACTGATACTATGTATACGTCTTCTATGTGAGGTTATACAGAGACCAAATTTATAGTGTCCGTAATACATGTTACAAATTACCTCGTACTTTGACAAAAATTCTGTATTCATTCAAGTATAACAATTAATACTAAAGTAACCCTGTCAGCTTAGATTTATAGTATTCCCATGTACAGTGGACAAAATGACCATAACGGCAGAATAATGTAATCGAACTATACCTTGAAAGAACTGATTCGAGTAGAGACACCAGAGGGTAGCTCATCGTGATTTGGATAGAAAGATTCCATCTGAAATATATCACTCCTATGCAACGTAATCACCTTCGTACATGGAAAAGCATTATTTTTCGGAAACAACACTCCATCTTTCAATGAGCAGACTGGCCCTTCGTCTGATGCAAATGCAATTGAAAATGGGAAACGGTCCTGCACCTGCAAATAGAATGTCCAAATACTTGGCACTGTCATTGAAAGGGGAAACTTATTCAAGCATAATGAACTGGTAATTTGAATAAGGTCAGGTGTCAATATTCTTACTGCGCATCCAAAATTTTTTCCAAAAACTTGATATTCTTTCTACTTATGAAAATATTTTTTTAAGGATACAGGAGGCAAAGTCAGATACTAGAAACTACAGTATTTAAGAGATTCTTCTTACCATTCCTGCTGTACGAGTTTTATATGCATACTTTTGTTCATAATCTTTATCTGCATACTATTGTTCATAAACAGATTAGATAAATTATTAACATCTCAGAGAAGAGCATTCTTTCATTTTTAAATATCGTTCTTGAGGAAATTAAAAGGGAAAATAAGGATTTTCTAGATACGATAAACTAGGATTTATCGATGGAAGGATGTATACGAAGATAATATAGCCACAGAAAACGAACCTCATACTCTCTAACTCGGATTATCGGGCTAAGCATTGCGCACTGAAGGGCACAACCACGAGCCACACATTCACTTGCATTCAGTGTCCGGCTCGGCTCTTTCCTAAACACCGAATTCAGCATCTTAGTAACAGCCGGTACTCGAGAACCCGACCCAACAAGCTCAACACTGTGAATCTTCTCAACAGTGAGACCAGATTCAATCAAAGCCCTACGACACGGAATGCTAATCCTCTCTACAAGTGAAGACGCCAATTTTTCAAACTCGTCTCTCTTGATATACCCTTTCACATCTTTCTCTTCCATCAAGCACTCGATATTAAGTGGCGCCTCCGCATTAGCACTCAAGACTTTCTTCAGCTTCTCGCACGATGCTCTCAGCCTCACAGAAGCCCGTGTACTAGAATAAACATCAATCCTGTACTGGTCCTTAAATTGAGCAGCAAAATGTCTGAACAGAACTTCATCAAAGTCTCTTCCTCCCAAGTTGCTGTCAAAGGAGTGGGACAGCACCTTCATATTCCCAGACAGAAACGATACAACAGCAACTTGCGTATCGCAATGGCCAATATCTACAAACACAACATTTGTGGGACCCTTTGTTGGGTAATCTGTCTTGTAAATACCATAACCAAGTGCAGTAGCAGTACAGTCATGCATTAACCTCAATGGCTTCAAACCCGCAATCTCTGCTGCGTGTAAATATGCCCGTCTTTGCAGAGCAGTAAAGTAGGACGGAATTCCAATCACGCAATTGGAAATCTGCGTCTCGAGATTCTTTTCTGCAATCTGCTTTAAATGCGCGAGTAGCATTGCCAAAATCTGTATTGGGGTAAAAGTTTGTCTTTCTTCCAAGTATCGTAGATGAATCAGGATTCCACCATCGGGCCCCTCTGATGTCTCGAAAGGAAGCAATCTTAGGTCATTTTGCACTGTCGGTTCGCTGAAATTCCGACCGATCAATCTCTTGACCTGAGATATAGTTGACTTTGGGTGCATAGTAGCGGATGCCGCCCCAGCAGAGCCCAAGAACCTCTGTTTTTCTCCGAACGAAACCACAGCCGGATTCTCACGGTTTGACTCATCGTTTAATAACACATCGATCCCACGCTGCTTAGCTACAGCTATCACACAGTTCTCATTTCCGATGTCAAACCCCACCACACTCATCTCCAGCTAAAAATCCCCAATTCCAATCACAAGAACTTCAAACTGTAACTAACAACATAAAATTCAATATCAAACGACATAATCGAAATCCCAACCATTTTCAAATTAAATGACACAAAACGATCTCAACATGATTAGCTCATCGATTCAACAAGACATTTGACAACAGCATAATGAATTTGGCTACAACAATACTCTAATTCGGCCGCATTGATTAGCATAAAATCCCGAAATGTAAAAGCCGGAAGGGTTTGAAACATGAAATTTACCTCTGCTTTGATAAAATCAGCGGGTGATAATGGGGAACCCTAAAACTGGACGATTGAGAAATTCCTCCGAATTTCTTGTAAATTCAGAGCGGACGATTTTTCGAAGATTTATGTTTATATATATTATATATATATATATACGTCGGATTGTGGTTATAGATGGAGACTTGTAGCAAATAATGAACAAAGGTTCGATGTTTGCTGATATTATGCAATGGAAACTTTGTTAATTATTTACTCTAATTATCTCAATAAAATATTAATTTTCGTAGCTTTCCTTTTTACTTTTTTCTCCTTCCTAATTTCTCTTTAACGTATACTTTTCTATAGTGCCTTTTCAGATTATTTTTTTGATAATTTAAAATCAAAAACGTAATCTAAATAAAAGAATTACATATAACTCGCTGAAATTATATATAAAATTTTCATTATAATTCAAATAGGGGTTTTCTCCTCTTCATATTTATTTTTTGGTCCAACCCCGCTTAAGTCCATTTAATCATAATTATCCACCATCAAGCTCAGTTGTATTAAATGCGAGAGCCCACTTTTTTGGAAGGATGATCTTATTCGTGGAATTAATGTTTCACGTCTTAACCATTGTCTTCTAATTAAGTACGTTTATCTTCTCTCTCGTTTCTTTTTCTCCTTAGTCTCTCTAGATATGCTCTTCTCAACTACTTCGTCTGTCTCTTTGCTTCGTTAATTATGGGTCAAACTCAGTCGTACCTGACAGGTTTTGACTAATCAGTGGCCCCTTCACCAGATTTTGACTTGAGCCCCTATTTAAAGTAGAAGGTGGATCGGTGGAGATTAAAATTGAGTGAAAATCCTAAATACTTGTTACATTTTTCTAAGTTGTACTCTTTGTGTAAGATTTGGGCCTTTAATGAGTATGCAAGCTTGTGTGCTTCGTTTTCAGTCTCACTTTACGATTTCTGAACGGGTTGAGAGAGAGAGAGAGACTCTTACCAGAGATATGCTCTCTCTTCTTATCATTAGTGGTGTTGGTGGTGTTTTTAAGTTGATGTTTAGTGTGAATTTGGATAGAAAAGACTAATCTATATCCAAGGCTATGTAACGATTTTAGGCCATGATTATACTTGACATGATAATTAATTTGTCAAATATATGAAATTTAAGTTTAAGCCCATAAAAAGTGAGTGTGGGTTTTAATTAAGATAGTCCATTAACAACCGGGCCGAAATAACGGCCCAATTATCCCTTAACGCTATAATTCAGTTTATTGCAGCCCAAATCAACCAATTACGTCATTAACTCATCTTTCAGTGTCAGATTTTTTCCAGAAACTGATAATAACCAAATATATTTATAAAATAAAATCAGAAAATTATAGTATTTTTCAACCAAAATTGAAAGTTTGAAGCAATGTGGGACATGATAGTATTTTGTTGCATATGTTAATTAATTAATTAATTTATTTTTTTCTGTTCAAGCACATGAATAAGTGTGACAATAAATAAGATAAAAACCCAATCCGAATATTAGGTGTCTGGATATTAGGTGTTCAAATTAGTGTGTAATAATTAGTCCGTACGTACTTGTAGTTGTACCCCCAACGAACACATTGATGATAGTTGCCCCCACCCAATTCATTAACTCACCGACACCACAAATCATTATATTCATATTTATTACTAAATGTTATATTTATATATATACACACACAAAATGAACCCATCATTTCTTTCCTTTTTTCAACATAACTTTTTGACCGGCAAGTCTAAAATGTGAGGCCGGTCAGTCAACGGGCAAAATACTAGGCAGATTTTATTGTCGTTTATGCAGATTGAAAGGCCAGATTTTGTTATATCTTATGTCATGCCTAGCAATAGCTTGTTTCGATGAATACTATGTAATATATTTTCTTTGCTGTCTTTAGTTGGAAATTAAGGCCAATGTTGGTGTTACATTTCTAATCATGCAATGCACATTTTCCATCCAGTTGTCGGAAAAGAGAAGTGGTCTTTCTTTCATGTTTCCGTTACAAAAAACGTTCAGTCACAATTGTTTTAGGGTAAATTACTAAAATACCCCCACTTATCTATAATTACCAAATTAAATTATTCTCGACGTTTATTTCTTCCTTACACCGATCCTAGCTCTTATGGTGTGATTTTTGACGGATTTTTTATTTTTATTTCTTGGAATATTCCCGAAATATGTGATTCTTTCTCTAATTAAGAACAGAAGTCTCTTAAGTGTCACTACACTATCTGGATTGCTAGTTTGAACCATCGTAGCATACTTAAGCATTTTTTGAACATATTCTTCGTCTGTAATGGTATAATAGGTATTTTTCGGAGAATATTCCCATAAATAAAAAAAGATTCATGAAAAATCACACCAGTCGTGTGTAAGGATCATGTAGTATTTATGAATCCTAAATATTAAAATAAATCACAAATTATATTATCAACAACATTGTAAATAATGTAATAACAACTCTGATTACTTCTGTTAGGTTAATTTGACACAAGTGCACAACCATGGATTTGGTCTATATAAAATCGTGCTGATGACTAACACCTTTAAATCAGAAAATTTAATCACCACAAGTCAAACGATTTTTCTCTTAGTTCTAAAACTAAAAATTAATTAGTGAAATAATCATTTAAAGAATATAATCAATTATCAAATTAAAGCAGAAACATTATATTAACCCTTTTTTTTTTTTCTTGTTCAAGTACAAAAAAACTATAACACAATTAGGCTTTTAATTTTGAAGCCAAACACGCCCCAAGTATACTTCTGTCACCACTCTCATTTTCTTAATGGACAAAACAGAGGAGAAATCAAAAACAAATGTTCAAAAAATTGGTGGGAGAGCCCCAGCCACAGTGCCCTGTTTGCCATGCAACAAGTGCTTGCAAGATTTCAGGACAGAACTAATCTGTTTGCAGAAACGACCCTTGGAAGAAAAAACATTTGCAGATAAGCCCTTCTTAAGATTCCTCAATCTCTTACCAAACTTGATCTTCAACTTGAACATCTTCACTCTCAGCCATGAAGGCCTTCTTCTATTACTGCTGTCAGCCCTCTGCATAGCCTTGTAGATCAAGAACTGCGCCAAACGGTGCTGCGTCTCTTCCGGATCTTCGTTATCCAGTTTCGAGTAATTACCGTATTCTCTCTTCATTACAAGAGCCATCTCTTTTCTCTCTCTTAATTTTTTCAATTCAAGAATTAAAATCAAGAGAGAGAGAGAGAGAGAGAGAGAGAGAGAGAGAGAGAGAGAGAGAGAGAGAGAGAGAGAGAGAGAGAGAGAGAGAGAGAGAGAGAGAGAGAGAGAGAGAGAGAGAGAGAGAGAGAGAGAGAGAGAGAGAGAGAGAGAGAGAGAGAAAATAAGTTGGTTATTGAGAATTTGCAGTTTTGTGAGTATTTATAGGGAATTAGTATAGAGAGATGAAATGAAACAGTGCATGTGCATAAAGATCACAAGTCATAAAACAGCTCTTTTAATTATTTTTGCCTTGGAAAATTTTTGGGAATTAATTTTTAAAATGGGAAAGTGAGCTGGCAAAGGGACAGTGTAGAAGAAATGTTTGTCAAAGGGATGTATATATTTTAATTGATTTTGTGGAGAGGGTGATTTACTCAGACTGTAGATACACTTTTGTATTGATGATGATAATATGAAGCAATTAATTAAATTTTTTTTTTTTTTTTTTTTTAATTAGACTCTGCTAACATGGAACCAATAATGTAATAATTAATTAGGGATGATACTAAATGATTAGTTTCTGACTGCTAATTGTGAAAGTATTATTTTTTTTAATGTGCCATTTGCAGTAAATTAAAAAGGCTGAAATAATTAGTTGAACACTACACTGAATATTTCTGTGTTAGCCATTTTCTTGGCATTATTTCATGAGTGTAACCATAAAATGGTTACATATATTATTATTTTTTATTTTTTTAAATTGACAAGTGTAGATTCAAATTCAATTGGTACTAGGGATGGCAACGAATCGTTTTTTAGTTTTTAGTACTACCCCATAACCCGACCTATTATTCAATCCTAAATCGTTTAACTTACTCAGACTTGCCCCAAATAGGTCTGTTCCGGGTCCGAGACCCGACAAACTCGTGCCCATTGACATCCCTAATTGGGACTAACGTATTATTGAAATAATCAAAGTAAAGTATTTCAAGATTTTGACTCTAAATGTAAATTTCCTTTTAGTTGATCTCAAAAGGTATAATACTACATAGTAGTAATAGTATCTTGTTGTGGGTTGGATTGTTCCACCAAATGGCATTTTGGCCCCCCCTAATTGTCTAAATAATTAATTAATAACGTTAATAATAACAAAATGCAGGGCAGGGGCGGCATTGTTTTTGTAGATAATATTAGAATAATAATTGACTAAATTGTGATTAACAATAAAATAAAAAATTAGACGGCCATTTGCAAATTTACCTCATTAACTAACGTCATCATCTTCTTCATTATTGGTCTAAAAAAATATAACACTTGTGACTTCTGACGACATGAGAAGGTACCCCACCTCCCTACCCTACCCTACCCTACCCTACCCCATTCCCCTTAAAGTCAACTACATAAATCACACACACTACTTTTCTTTTTCTTTTTCTTTTTTTCTTTTTCTTTTAACTTAAATGCTAAAATAATTTAGAACTAGTTTTAGTGCTAGAATTGTAATAAACAATTGGATAAATTACGAAACCCCACTGAATTTAGGTTATATTTCAAAAAACACCCCAATTATTTTTTCATTACCAAAATACCCCTGACGTTTGTTTCCGTATTACATCAATCCCTTACGGTGTGATTTTTCATGGATTTTTTTCATTTCAGGTAATATTCCTCAAAAATCTCAATCCTACTCCTGCAAACGTGACGCTTTTTATGCTATTTTTAGACAGAAGTTACTCTCGAAAGAATAATGGTAATGTTAAAATGTTGTGAAGATATTATTTAAGAAGAGTAACAATTCCGTATAAAGGCCCCTTGAGGGTAAGTTATTCATTTAAAAAGTAGCATAAAGAAAAGTCACGTCTGTAGATGTAGAATCGGCATTTTCTGAGAATATTCCTTGGAATTTAAAATATTTTGTGAAAAAATCTCATCATAAGAGGGTCGGTGTAAGATGAAAACAAACATGGAGAAAATTTTAGTAATTTAGGTGGGAGCATTTTTTGTAATTTAACATAAGTTGAGGAAGGTATTCGTAATTTATCCTAAACAATATTCAATCGAATCATCACCACCAAAATTATTTCTTCGCGGAACAATGGTGCGACAAGCTTCATTATTGTCCAGCAACGCCGGTTCGATTCAATTTGAATCGTTCCGATGAACAGTGATTTTAGGCAAGCATGAATTAATGTGAGGTGGGGCCAACAAAAGACGAGAGGTCGAGGCCATGTTTTTCCAAAAGTTTGACTACAAATCACTTTGGCTTATGTCTTTTTCACATGCATTGACTCTATATTATATTTTAGGAACTGTATAAAAAAGTAATATCAAAGGTCCAAAAACTTTCATATAAACTACACAATAACTATGTGATGAAGGATGGTTCGAACTTGAATCAAATGCATGATTTCACGTTTTTTGCTCCACTAACTAGATCACTAACCAGTAAAGGCTAAAATATCGTAAAATGTTGCAGAACTCTGGAAATCAATAACTTTATAAATAAACTTTCAAATTTATTTTGATATTTAAAATGTGCATGCATGGATATTCCGTTTATGACCGTCGCGAATTAGGGCAATTCAAGTTCGGGGATTAATGGGCCGAAGTGACGTCGTTTAAGAGGAGACTCAAAAGTGCTATTTACACTTTCATGATTTTATTTATTATGCATTTCTGTAATAGCCATAGCCTGAAGTTTTCCCTTAGGTTGAGCCCAGTTAAATTCTTCGCCGGCCCAGAATAACCAGATCACAACCTTGGACCGGCCCATTAGCTTAACGGGTCGACCCGTTTACGAATCCAAACAGCAGAGAAGCTATAGCTGAAGTTGTTCCCTCTGTTATCTGAGTGAACACAAAACAAGGAACTTAATTTATACAACAGATCCCAGCACAAGTTACAAATTACAATAACAAATATTACAACTTATTACCTTTACAGTTTTACATAACACTGTGTGTGTAAAAAGGTCCATATTCAAGAAATGTATACATACAGTTACACCTCCATAGTTCTTCACTTTTTACTGATAATTTAAAAAAAAAAAAAAAAAGAAAAAAAAAACTAACAAGTTAGAAACGCTCGGGCTTTAGCCGACAGATCCTTCGAGTTTCAAACTCATGAGCTGATTCACCTCAGCACCAAACTCATCGGGCAGTTCATTGAACACATCCCTGCAAAAACCAGATATCATAGCAGCCATTGCTTTCTCGTAGTCGATACCTCTTTGTTGGAAGTAGAATAACTGATCTTCTCCGATTTTCGAGGTCGTGGCTTCGTGTTCAATTCTTGCTGTGGGGTTCTTCGCCTGTTTCACATAACAAACAAGTTTAAATAAATTTACCAGCTTTAATTTGCTATATATTAATCATCGGCTTCTACATTTAGGTCATTCGGTTACAGAGATTAGCCATGAATTGATTAACTAAATAACTGGACTTCGTTTAATGTTTGGTAAACCCGATAGTTATATCCGGGTCGACCCCAAAATATTATTTTATCATGGCATCTTGCCTTTCAGCTACACAGTCCAGTAATATAATTAGGGTTTCAATAGATCGTTTAATCTTATCTTAGGAACCAAACGAGGCCCTTATAGTAGGCCACCTTAAATAGATCAATGAACACTAGCAAAATAGAATATGCTACCATATAAAACAAATTGCAAACGAATAAAGCGTTGTATAAAAAAGAATATTCAAACTAAGGATATTTACTTGAATATACGGATACGTATTCGCAGCAGCGCCATCTCCAATAAGCATCGAATCACACTGCGAAGAGTTCTTAGCATTATCGGCACTTGACATCACTTGAACCAAACCCCTATAACAATTTCTCGAATGTCCAGCCGAAATCCCTTTCGAAATAATCCGACTCTTCGTATTCTTCCCCTTATGTATCATCTTCGTACCCGTATCAGCCTGCTGATAATTATTCGTCAACGCCACGGAATAAAACTCGCCAACCGATTCATCGCCTTCCAAAATCACACTCGGGTACTTCCAAGTAATAGCCGAACCTGTCTCGACTTGCGTCCACGAAATCTTCGAGCGGGCCCCAGCGCACAGTCCCCTCTTGGTAACGAAATTGTAGATTCCACCTTTACCCTCCTCATCGCCCGCGTACCAATTCTGAACCGTCGAGTACTTAATCTGAGCGCCAGCGTGGCAGTACAGCTCCACCACTGCAGCGTGCAATTGATTAGTATCGTACGAAGGTGCGGTACAGCCCTCCAAGTACTCGACAAAACTCCCTTCTTCTGCTACTATCAAAGTCCTCTCGAATTGCCCTGTTTCCATGGCGTTGATCCGGAAATAAGTCGATATTTGCATCGGGCACTTTGTGTCCTTCGGTATGTACACGAAAGAACCGTCACTGAACACAGCTGCATTCAAAGCCGAGTAGAAATTATCGTCGGCCGGAACAACTCTGCCTAGATACTTCTTGATTAAGTCGGGGTAGTCTTTAACGGCTTCCGATATAGAGCAAAAGATAACCCCCGATTTCTCTAGGGTTTTCCTATGAGTTGTAGCGATCGAGACGCTATCGAGTACGGCATCAACCGCGACGTTGGCCAATCGATTCCTTTCGTTCAAGGGAATCCCGAGCTTATCGAAATACCTAACGAGCTCTGGATCGGCCTCCTCGAGGCTGTTTAAAGTTGGCTTATTTTTGGGCTCGGAGTAGTAACATAGATTTTGAAAATCAATTCTAGGGTACCGATTGTCGGACCAATTGGGCTCCTTCATGTTGATGAATTTCTCGTAGGACTTCAATCTGAACTCCAGCATCCAATCGGGTTCGTTTTTCCTTGCGGAGATTAATCTGACTGTTTCCTCTGAGAGCCCCTTTGGGATGGTGAAGGAGTCGATTTCCTGAGTGAATCCCCACTTGTAGTCACGTTTCAGGAATTTCTGAAGCGGGTCGTCGTTGTCGGATTTCTTGGCGGGGTAGTCGACGGTGGTTTTGGATTCGTATCCGACGTCGGCGGCCCTGATTTTGAGGGAGGCTCTGGAATTAGGGTTTCTGCAGACGGTGGAATTGAGAGAGGGGTGGAAGTATAATAGAGACCCTTTGGAGAATTCGGAGACGGTCTGTGAGGAGAAGGGCGAAATCCCGTTGGTGAGAAGAGACGCCATGGCGCGTGTGTGCGCGTGTGGTGGTGGAGGATTTCAATTTGGGGATACAGAGTTCGAAAGATGAAGATGAAGATGAAAGAAGTATAGCTATTGTTTTTGTTTTCTTGTTAGAGAGAGAAATTTGCGAAATATAATAATTAATAATTATGTGGTAATATATGTTGTGTGTGAGTGTGTGGCCAATGGCCGTTAAGATTTTTAGGTGATGTCGCACGCAGACCACGCGCCCCTCCGGGACCATTACATTTGGTGGGGTTTTTAATTTTTAATTTTTTATTTTATTTTATTAGTATTTAAACGTAATAATTATGCATGTTATAAACAGAAATAGATTATTTAAACTTATGGGCCAAAATATGTATTTCAAGCCCAAATAAATGAGTCAAACACAAATAAAATGGGCCACAGCTACTAAAACAGGCCCATAAAATCGACAAAAAGATTAATAGAACATTACCAAATCGGTCAAATTACGACTATCCTGAAGTTTGCTTAAATTGCCAAAACCCTTATGTTTGAATAATTACCACCACACACTCAACAACTTTTGACACCATAATAGTGGACGTGTACGTAATTGATGGATAGTTTTAATTACCTAAACAATAAGGGTATTTTCGTAAATTGATCTTACATCAGGGTGGCCGTAATTTGCCCATTTTGTCGCTTATAACCCCAAAATGTCAATTATGGAACAATACTTTTCATACCGGATTTCAAAATTTTGAATTTCGGTTTTTTGAATTGGAACTGAAATATACACGAGGTTCCAATTTCCGATCTCGATTTTAAATTCTCAAAAATAATTGCAAAAAGATCGAGTTTTCATTCTAAAATTTACACTCATAATATCAAAATCATTACGTATTTTATATTTAAAGTTACTAAAAATTAGTAATATCCGAATTCCACGATCCCATTCCGATCTGAAAATTTTATTAATTTTTAATTAAAATATAATACACGAGACATATCCCAAAACAAATTAGGCATAAGAGCCCTATCATACACAAGACACACACACACATATATATATATATATGTATGTATGAGTGTGTGTTATTATGTGTAATTAATGATGGAGATTATCCGGTTTATATTTCATCGGATGTAGCATCTACAAAACAAAACCGAGTGGTAGGTTGAGAGAAAATTGCTCCCCAATTCTCTGTCAATCCCAAATTGCTGACAACAAAAACGGAAAGCTGAAAATTCCACTTCGATGCTAAAAACATGCAATTAACGTTGGTGGTAGAAGTAGAACATTTCATTTGCGGTCAAGTTTTCATTCACTGCACATAATTTACATCACCAACCCCTTTTTTTATTTTATTTTTCTTGATTATCTTTTTTGCATGTTTCCGATTTATTAGTGATTTGTTTTAACAGAAAATCACACTCTTTTAGCACGACTGAATTTCTTGAGAGCTTTCCCCCAAAACACAGCTGAATTCATTGTAGAAATCAAAGGATTCATCGAACGGTTCCGATTTCCAGGCTACGAATTCGAAGCCTTGCGGAGGTGAGTTCTTGATATATTTTTTTTTATTCCCCTTTTAAGGAATTTATATTAATTTGAATATGTCTGATATATAGAATATAGAATGAGTTTGTATCTATATTCTATATGTATGTTCCAAAAATTAATTGCATGCATGTAGTTAAGATTGATGGGCTTCATTGATTTAGACGGGTGAAGAGCACGCGCCTCCGTTGTTACCTCAAGAGGCTTCGAACAATCAATCAATTGTTGCACAATCTCATCTGGTAATTCCTCATCCAAAGAAACTATTGTTTTTCGGGTACAAGAAATCTCGAAAAAAATCGATACCTCAAGAATTTCATTACATCATGATACTTAATTTCAACTTTTCTTGCAGGGTAAAGAAAAAATTCATAGCACTAAACAAAGGTGCCGTATTTCGAGGCCGTCTTTTTTTCCGATGACAGATGTCTCGATCTCCCTCCCCGCCAAACGCAAGCGTGGCCGCCCCCGTAAAGACAACCATCTCTACAGAGAAGGCGGTACCACCTCAACAAACTCACCCAAACACCCTACTCAAGAATTCGACAAAAAATCCCAAAATGCCCCTGTCGTAGACGACACCTTGGTCGGGTCCACTGTCCACGGAGTTATAGACGGTTCGTTCGACGCGGGGTATCTAATATCCGTCAGAATCGGAAACAACGAGACAGCTTTCCGAGGAGTTGTTTTTCAGCCACGAAAATTCGTTCCGATTACATCAGCAAATGACGTGGCACCACAAGCGAAAATGTACCAAAGAAGAGAGATTAATAATGATATTAACATCACCGGCACATTTAGTCCTCAACCGGAAAATCCAGTTTTCCGGCCAGTGCTGCCGCCACTCTCAGCCACCACCGCCACAACCACCACCCCATCATACCCTTCGAGCAACAATAATATTAATACTCATTCGAACTTTCTCCATAATAACAAACAACAACAGCCTCCGTTTCTCCACTCGACCGGAAATCTAAGAATGGTGGAAGAGGATGACGTGATGCAAGCGTTCGAGGTTTCGACATCATCGAAAGCCATGTCGAAGAATATTCCAGAATCTTTATTCAAAGGTGGTAACGAAATGATCGATAAAGTCGGCCCGAATTTAGAACAACTCCACCACAACTTCATGGAGGATATGCCTCGGTGCGCGTTCGAAATCCAGCGAGACGAAATGGTTTGCCCTGAAAATTACCATCAAAATCTTTTGACCAATCATCATCATCATCATCATCAAACTCAAAATCCCGATAAATTGTTTCTTACGAGCGATCATTTGAAGTTGGATCTGTCTAATTCTTCCCTGCATGAAAAGAAACCAGAACAATTACAGCTTCTTGAGACAAATTATTTGGGGCTAAACGGGCTAAAAAGCCCGAATCTTGGGTACCAGCAAGCGTTGGTAGCGGGTAATCCTCTGTTGTTGCCCCCAGCGTTTATCGGTGAGCCTGCGTTGGATTTTATGCTGGGGAAGACTACTAATAAGTCACCTACAAACAGTAGGACTAATTTGGAGGTGGAATCCAGTGGCGGTGCGGGTGTTGGTGCAGGTGCACCGTATGATTTGGAGCTGGCTACTCCACAGTCGAATGTGAACGCGAGGACCGCAAATGCGAATCAGACGAATTCTTCTGCTGCGTGTATTAACGATATGGATTTTGATCTGAGTGACGTTGTTCAACCTACTGAATCGCATGGCCGACAGAGCTACTTATCGGAAACCGAGCATAGATGATGTAAGCCCTAGAAAATAAACGTTCCATGTTTCGAGTGAAGTTGATAAAGATTATTTACCAGAGAAAATACTATTATATGATTGAGTTTCTGCCTTTTGAGTTAACATCTATTTTCTTGCAATGTTTTATTTTCTTGGATGCTATTTCTCAGTTGATTTTTAAGTTGTTGGACTAGACGAAACGAAATACCACGTAAAGGGACGCGTAAGTATGATTTGGTGAATTTCGTCGAATGTGTGTAGTTTAAAACAAACCGTTCATAGACACGGCAAATGCAGATGGAAAAAGCAAGTAATTTGTTAGTAGCAACGACTAAAAAATGAAAAGGAGAGATTTTAATCTTTCAAACAATATTTTAATTTTCCATATCATACGTGGGATGTGATAAATGTTGTTCGAGTTTTAATAATATTGTTTCGACTTCAGGTGCAATTTTGATCATTTTTTACTCCAAATTTTGCAAAACTGAAAACATAGAATTTGTACTCTTTTGAGTTAGCTTTCTAATCCAACTTAAATCAACAAAGTTGGATGTCGGATGAAAAAGATATACATTAATCAATGAACACTGCCCACAATTTATATATATTGAGTTAAATAAAATTCAAAATATGACTCATTCATACATAATTTTATCACACAACATCTAATTTAGCTGATTGAAGTTGAATTAGAAACTTATCCCAAAGTACTAGAATTTTGAATTTTGTCAATTTCAAACTAAAAATATGTCAAAATCAAATTCAGAGTCAAAATGATATTAGTAAAATTAAAACGCCATTTAGCACTCCAGTAAGTTAAATAAAATACCGCGGTTATATATATAAAAGAAAAAATATTTTATAACTTATTTCGTCTTCCCCCAATTTATTTCGCCGCACCGCCATCTCCACCCCCGCGCCACCCACGCGCGCAGACGAAGAACCAGAAGGGCAAGAGAGAGGCGAAGGAGATCACCGGGTATGGATATTATATCTCAATTGCAAGAACAAGTGAATGCAGTAGCATCTATTGCATTCAACACCTTCGGTACACTTCAAAGGGACGCGCCTCCAGTACAGCTGTCGCCTAATTATCCAGATCCTCCCGCCAATCCCAACGGTGTAGAAGACGCCGCCACTCTTGCCGAGCAGCCCAAGCTTCTCAGCGCCGAACTGGTGAAGGCGGCCAAACAGGTTCGTTCATTTCTTTGTTTATTTGCTTACAAATGCAATTTACTGGAATCAAGCCCTAATTTGTTCATCTCCTTATAAATGTAAAACCCTAATTTTTTTTGGGGCAGTTTGATGCTTTAGTTGCTGCACTTCCATTAACTGAGGGGGGTGAAGAAGCTCAATTGAAAAGAATTGCTGAACTTCAGGTATGAAGTAAGTATGATTGCACTATTTATGTAATTACTCCCTTGCTCAGGACTTTTGTTTCATACATTTTTGATTAAAATCTGATCTGCGAAAGCCTAATATGTTGCGATTATCAGAATGGCGCAACATTCTAACTTCATGCTGTTTAATAACTTTCACAGTAAATTTTTTTTTCCCTGTTACGCATGTTCTTTGTTTTGTCATCGATAAGAGGGAATAGACTTCTAAACTCATTTGTTGTACTTGGAACCTGCTGATATATTATGGTGAAGTCTTACTAATGGAAAGAATCACTGGCAGACTGAGAATGATGCAATTGGACAGGAACTTCAGAAGCAACTTGAAGCCGCCGGTAAGATCTTTTTTACCTCTTAAAAAAATCTATCGTAAACTTCAGTACTTCAAATTTGATGTTATCCAATTCTGTATAGCAACTAATGGGAAAATTCACTTCGTCATCTCCCTTTTCACTTTCCTTAATCTTATGACCGAACAAACATAAGGACTACATCTTTTGTAAAGTGATAACATGATAGGATTCCATTACGTAGTTCTGTCTCTAGATTTTGCTATATTTGTCAAATTCAGGCAATATGTGAGATTTGGCTATCACAGTATTACCCAAGATCCTAAAATTCTATAAAGCATGCCCTGCTGGTGGATTAGTTTATTTTGAAGCTGCATATTTGTTCTGAAACTTACAAATATTAATGCGTTTGTCCCAGAAAAGGAGCTAAGGCAGGTCCAGGAGTTGTTCGGCCAAGCAGTGGATAACTGTTTGAACTTAAAGAAACCAGATTGAGGCGAAAGATGGGCTGAACCATTCCCCCAAACCCTTCCTTTTACTTCCAAAGCTTATAAAGTAGAGCAGTTTTTTCAGTCCTAGTAGCAGGTAATCACACTGTAACATAATGCTGCCCTGTAATTTAGTTGACTGATTTGCAACTAGTTCTCGTTAGATGACTATCAGATTTTGTAGGAAGTTGGGTTCTTTGTTTCTATCTTCATCTCGTAGATGCTCTGCTGATATTTCTACTTGTTCATGAACCTGGTGAAATCTCAAAGCATGCAAAAATGTCCCGGACTGGATAGTCTAACTGTTTATTTTCGTACTGCGTATAAATGCAGATGAATTCATCCTGTTTGGACATATATTCTAGAATACTTGTTCGTTAAAAGATTTCAAACTTTTTTCTCTATGGGGATTTTACAACTTTTTATCTGACCGAAAATTTTCAGCATCCGACATATGAAGGAAAATTTAAGTATAGAATTAACCTTTGATTGTTCTTTTTCTGCTATTACTCTTAAATAATTTTGCAAGGCATTTCCTAAGGGGATGCATTTCCAAAGGGGATGCATTTCCTAAATTAGATATAACTTAACCCAATAAATGACATTCAAATATATAAAAGCAAAACTGAGTTTCTTTTTTCTTCAGTTTATCATTCTGCTCACAGTGAATTAAGAGAAAACAGGTGAGAGACGAGTTAATTTCAACAGTACAACTCATCCAATAGAAAACACAATCTAGCCAACACAGTAGTCTATACAGACTCGTTAACTGCTAGAATCACACAAGAACAACTAACTATTCCCGTCATGGTAATCCCTGCTACCCACCAAGCTAATTTCAAGTTGATGCCGGTAGCTCACTGCACAACAAATTAAACGACTATTATTAACTTCAAGATAAATGGATATTGGTAAACAAAAGTAACAAGAAACCACAAGAACAATGTCTAATATCATTTTGATTTTCCTTATCTTTTCGTATAGTAACAACCTTAGGGGGGGGGGAAGGGGGGGGGGGGGGGGGAATTGGGATGGACACTGAAAGTTAGAGTTGTTTAACTCTTAAATTAAAATAAAACGAAAGGATTTTAAATAGAAACGTAGGAGTGCATAACATGATTTACCAAAAAACTTGCACCAAACCGTGCGAGGCAAGGATGGAAGGGAATAAATATAATGTGTCAAAGACAATAAACAGATAAGAGTTGGGTGTCAATAAATATAAGAGATAAGAAAGCTACACAGACTCTCCTCAGAAGTGGGAAATTAAAGATAAGTTTACGAGTAAGAACCATTATATATACACACGCACACACACACCTCTCTCTATCCTGTTGCATCATCTATTGCTACTGTTGTGGAGGGGGTGGGTAGTTCCCATAACCAGGATAGCCTGCATAGTACAAATTTGGATCCTGCGCAGCTGCAGCAGCTGGAGCATAACCATAGGTTTCATATCCAGGGGTATATCCGTAATATCCACCACTCCACTGGTTCGGGACAACCTGAGGTTAGAAGTTGAGATAGATGAGTATCTGTAACTGACAGCATAACAAAACTAAATAAATGAACAAACTTAGCAGGATGAACCTGTTTGTTTGAAGGGCTACGGCCCCAAGAGAGTCTAATGCTCTGTCCTCCCAACTGGGTTCCGTTTAACAATCTTAGAGCTTCTTCAGCACCACTTCTGTTACCATTTATGTACAAAGGAAGACAAATATTTAAAACTTGATTTATTGATGATTAAACAAAGGGGGGAAAACAACTGTTGGAATTCCCAATTCACCTGTCAGCATATTGAACAAAACCACAACGTTTGCCTGCAGGTATCTTTACATGGAGTAACTGTCCATATTGTCCAAATACCTGCCTTAGACGTTCATCTGTAACATCAGAGTCCAAATTCCCTACAAAGACCTGGAGGGTGAAAAAAATTCAAAGCTGTGAATAGTGTTGTTCTCTTTTCCCAAAAAAAAAAAGCAAAGAAAGAAAGAAAAGGACATATCAAATGCTCTTCAGTAAATCTACTAACCGTTGTGTTAGAGGGATCATCCTCACTTGGACTTCCTTGGGAAGTCTGGTACGAGGCTGCAATTTGAACAGATATATGTGAGAAAAAGGGGAAGATTGTTGTCAGAAACTATGGGGGAGGGTTGAGGGATGTACAGTTTTCCCTTACTAAAAGGAAGCAATATTTAGTACTTGTTCACAGCTCAATGCATAAATGTAAATCGTATGCATTATGCTAACTTCTATTATATTACAACAAAATTATAAGAAGAAAATAGTCAACAAGTAAAATCTAGCCTGAAACATTCAATCAATCTCCATGATAAAGCGTGTAGCTTATGCATTAAATATAAACAGACATTTCATTCATGAATTTCCGCATAAGTATGGCAGGGTAAACTGCAAAGAAGATGAAACTTGCGCCCGTTCCTTTGCTATGTACATATTTTCTTTTGGGCACATTATTATCCCACTTCATATAATTACCACCTGGGAAAATGATGTAATCTGCAGCAGAATAGTTCTTCAGTAGTAGACTGGTAGAGCATCATATTCAAGTAAATCACCAGCAAACTTTCTAAAATAGAGCACTATATAGAACCCAATAAGACAGAGATGCACATTTTTTATGGTTTCACCAATGTACAAAAGAGAAACCTATTCGAAATTTGCACAAGAATACATCAACATTATAGGTTGACTTATGGAGCTGATAAAAAGATGTAAAACTTAACCAATCGTCATAGTCGTTATAGAATTGGAAGGGAAAAGGAAAAAACTAGAAAATTGTAGGAAAGGAGCAACTCAACCAACGGGGAGGCTAACTTTGACAATTGTATTAAATGGTGGTTACATCACAAACCATTGAAACCCCTGAGTGCTGTAAGCAGTTTCACTGGCCTTATATCATCGGCCACACTCCATGGTGAACCATTTCTAACAAGAGTATACCCAATGTCAAGTGCTTGAAGAAAAATTAAGACCAGAAATGCTGAATGAAAAAAAATATGCAATGACACAAAGGATAGGGGTATCTGGAGATAAATAGTAAATTACAGCGGCTGAAATTTAAATTTGAATGTTAAAAACAGGACAGAGAGAAAATTGTAATTTAACTTGACTGGGAGCTTAGAAAGTAAAAGGATTGGAGGAGGAAAAGAAACAGAAATTCGTAGCAAAATTAATGCCTGAAGGAATAAAAAAGTAAGAAACATTAACATAAAACTGACCTACACAAAACCAGGCACTAAAAGGGTTATCATTTCTGCTGAAATTGGCTTCAGGCCCCTATATGATAGAGCCTCCTGACACCCTGCTTTGAGACAACCGCAGTTTTCTATGAGATTATGCAAGTTTTAACAACTAAAAAACCTAAAATTCTTAAAATACGGGAAGGAAATGGCAGTGTAGTTGTGGTTAGAAATCAACTTAATAGCATTGCTGAATAAAGAGACATCTATACTCCATATATTCCAAATTATGAGAGCCACCAATGCATTGAAGCTGCCAAACTAAATCAGGGCATCACAGCACATGAGAATGACCAACTAAAACCAGAATCAACAGATATGATTTATATTTTGCACTGAAAGCCCCAAAAATATGGAAGCACTAAGAATACCTGTGGTCTGACCACCCGGTTTTTGTTTGTTAGCAGCTGGGCCAATTCGCATGGGCCTGGTGGAACAAAGCACTCCATTCATTTCAGTCATGGCACGAATTTGCTCATTTTCATCACCAAACCGCACAAAACCATAGCCCTTTGTCCGACCAGTTATCCTATCTGTGACAATCTTTGCACCCTTGACTGAAGGATAATTGGCTCTAAAGGTTTCCTGGAGCACATAATCAGTCACATCTGCCGCCAAATCACCAACAAAAACTGTATATTCATTGGCATCTTCACGTTTTTCACCAGCTCCCATGGATGCCCAGTTCAGTCGGAAAGTTTGCTCAGCATTTGGCATAAGGGCGCCATTATACGTCTGCAGAATCCTTTCAGCAGCAGCATGACTAGCAAACCTGATGAATCCATAACCTTCTGATTGGCCAGATTGCTTGTTACGGATAACTTTAGCAGAGACCACCTATAGAAACAAAAAGATACAATGACTTGAAAAAAAAACATAAATAATAAGAACAGAATCACGACGCATTCAACAACTTGTCACAAATCTAACACTCCAAGCCGTCATTGCAAAACAGACTTTAAATCACATATTGACTAACCGAATAAACAAAAGTTCAAATTGAAAAGCTTACAAAATAGAAATACAGTTACTGAATAGTTTCAGCGAATAGTTTCAGCACAGAGAAATCTAAAATTCACCAACACAAAGATAATTAAACTACATGCGTAAGACAAGCACTAAAAAGTAAGACTAAAAGCTACTAATCTATTCATTAGTAAATGGAAAACAGACATGCGTGCATACCTCCCCAGCAGCAGGAAAACAGCTACATAAATACTGTTCGTCCATCCAGTATTGCAGGTCTCCGATCCACAGACTCTTGACACCATCATCTGCCACTGACCGAGCCTGATCCGTCGGTGCGGCCGCGTACAATTGCGGCGGGACTGCGGCCAACGGTGCCTGTGGTTGCTGGTAATAGTATCCAGCGGCGGGTGGCTGCTGCGGCGGAGGAATCTGGTATTGTGGTTGCTGAGGCATCCATTGCTGAGACGGATGTTGTAGCGGTGGTTGGGCCATGTTGTTTGCCGGCTGCATCGTCGTCCAAACCCCTAATTCGATTGTGACGATGGATGAATTTCGTGAGCGGAACCCTAATTTCGGGTGACGAGAGAGAAGCAAAGAGAGGTTATGAGTTCGTGTACCGCAAACGCACAACTGAAGCCCAAATACAAAGTAGAATACCAATTATACCCCTTGACTAATACGAATTTTGACTATAGCCCCCCTCTGTCAGACTTTCAAAGAAGATATTTTGTGGCGATATTTAATATCTTGTAATAAATTCAATTTCCCGGGGAAAAAAAGATTATTTTAATCGGCCAACTTAAGAAGCCAATCATATTTTATGGCTCAGAACCAAAACCACCCACCCTAAATTTTGCTGCTGCCCTATAAAAAAGGATGGTATGAGCACTCCCATAAAACTGACCAATTATTTTACAATCCCATCTTTTTTTTGTAGAGAGAGAGAAGAGAGAGAGAGAGAGAGGATATGGAAGTTACAAGAGCATTTCAGCCATATGCACGCAGGTATCTATTGGCTTATCATACGATTCCTGAAAATTATGTCCATTGGTCACAAACCCCTGAATCCCATGTTTACTCAGCTGATATCCCAGGTAATAACAAATTATAAATAAATAAATAATTTTGATTATGTTATATTGGTTTCTTGATTAATGAAATATGTTTTGCAGGTGTGAGGAAAGAGGACTTAAGAGTGGAATTGGAGGACTCGAGATACGTCATCATAAGAACTGCGGAAATGGCGGAGAGGAGCTTCAGTAGGAAGTTCCGGCTGCCGGAGCAGGTGGATGTCGACGGAATCTCCGCCGAGTATGTCGCCGGAGTATTGACGGTGAAGGTGCCGAGATCTTTCGTTAGAAGGGGTTTTGTTGTTGACCCTGCTGACAGGCCTGAAACTGTTCATGTTCTTGCAAGGGCTGCTTGATTCTAAGCTATACAAGTTGTGTTTGTTGTTATTGTTCTAAAGTGTGGTATGAAATGCGACTTATTAAGGAAAATCAACTCAATTAATGTAGAAAAAACGTGGATTGTTTTTTCCAATTTAATCCCACTACACTCAAATAACTGCTAATAACAAATTCTCTTCATTTCCATGGCTGAATTTATATACAATACAAAAAGGGGGAAAAGAAAAATACACCTGCAGCCGATTTTACCTTAGGCGTTTGTAACGAGTTTGAGGAGCTCGACAACTTCTCTCAACCTTCTCTCCGCAGTTTCTCTTCCCACCAAGTTCCTCGAGTTCCTACACACCAACAAATCAATCATTATTCAAAACAATTATTACCATCAACAAACTTCATCTGCGCATACATACATGCATTTTTACGTTTCCAAAATATGAAATTTCTATTGACCACTGACCTGGACTTCCTGGCGAGTTCTTCCACAAGATTGTTCAACCTCTTCAAAAGAGCCGGTGACTTGCGAATAGCCTTCGCCCCTTTCTCGCACGCACATATTTTCTTCAACACTTCAGATGCAATGAAGTATCCCTCTTCTTTGTTTCTAATCACCAAAAAAAATGTCGAAATAACTTCAAATACTAAACTTGCAAAATAAAAAATAAAAAAAAAAATCAGAAACTTGTAATCATAGTTCACGGAAATTCCCAAACAAACCTTATGAACTCCAACACAACAATTTCGACACATTGTGGACTCTCAACCAATACTTGAACGAGGTTTGAATAGCGGGCCAGGTTCCTAAGTGTAGAGAGTGCATGCTTTAGAACTTGCTGATCGGGTATGCTACGACTCACGGAGCGGATTAATTTCAGTAATGTGCCAATTGCTCCAGCAGCAACAAGCTCTTCACAGCATTTTTGTGAAAGTTCTGTGGCCACATCTGTTTAAAACAAATGCCACATTTTTACTGCCATTTATGTGTCTCGTGGAGTTCTCTATTATTAAATCCAGACGTGATTAAGGGCTTACCTAAAGTTGCACAAGTGTGCAAAATGCCACTAACACTTTTCATACTGAGAAGTTCCGAGAGTGCTGCAATAAGCCTGTTTATTAGACGCCTGCTATCATCAGCGTTTGCAGCAGATTTTTGCATTCTCATGCGCAGATCAATGAGCTGACTTCTTGCGTCTTTTCGTGCAAGGTAACCTTTCCAGCACGACTAATCACATGGGAAAGAAAAAAGGATCACGAATAGTTGAAGCAACGAAATTGCTAAATATGTATTCGAGTAAACATATAGCATAAATCAAATTATTGTAACAGTTATTGCAATGAAACACGCATACAATATACATATACTCACTTGAATCACAACCACGCTCTGCCTTTCTCTCTTAGCCCTTTGTCTTGCCATCCATCCCCGAAAATGTGATTGAATCACCACTGCAGACTTTGTTTTCACTCTAACTTGTATTATATAATACCTCCACCATCTTTGCAGCTTCACAACAGATTGCAGGAATATTTTCATTTCATGACCATGGAAGGTATGCATTATGGCCTCCTTACCAGAGCAGAAAGCTCCTGTTTTAGTGCATGTAGTCGAGTTGATGATTACGGCTAAAATCAAGAAAAATCGTATAAGAAAAACATTCATCAAAAGAAAGAAAGAAAAAATACCTATAAGCCTTTTCCTAGTGGTCTCCCCTCTGACAAAGCGTTGGATATCAATTGCAGCAATGGTTTGAGATATGAATGCCTCGCGACAGCTCATACAACGGAAAGCACTTTGGATTTTTATAGCAGCATCCTTTCGCAATATGAGCTCCTTCCTTTGAAGCCAACCGCGGCAGAAGCTCTTATTCGTATTAACAAATAATACACGTTATAGATACAATTACATTAATGGTGGGAAAAGAAAAGTGAAAACATGATCAATCAGTCGTGTTGATAAGCCCGTCTGACAGATTTTTGGAACATAACACATAGTAGGCACTAGACATGAAAAAAAAATAAAAAAAAATAGACAATCACATGTTGACTGCGAACTAGAATATATCCATACAACCCCAGGCACTTAAGACATAATTTTGCTTCATATAATAATGGACCTAATAAAGCCAATGAATATGTTTTTTCTATCACTAAGATGAAAATTAATAACTTATAACTTATAAGCAATTCCATATTAACAAAAACAAAGATATGAAAAGCAGAAACAACTACCTGTATCATAATCAAGAGATTTTTTTCCCTGTGAGCTTCTCTACGAGCCATGCATCCACGAAAATGAGATTGAATGATAATTGCCGATGCATTTACCTCTCGCTGTATCCGGAAATCCCTTCTACTCCTCAAACACCGAAAACTCCTTTGAATTTTTATTACTGCTTGCTTCTTATATGCAACACCCTTTCTCACAAACGAACCACGATAATGACTCTGGATTACGGTTGCAGCAAAGTGCTTATTTCGGATAGATTTTCGTAAGACATACTCTTTCCAAGATTGCTGAATTATGATTGCTGCTGTTGTCTGGATATTTTCCACAGACAAACATTTCTCTGTAGTTGTGACCCTTTGAGCATAAACAGACCTCACCTTCCATCCACGGATCCACTTCTGTATGATAATGGCAGCATTGATGAAATCTGGATTTTGCACATGATTATGAGAGACACTTTCATTATAATGTCTCTGAGCAATCCATGCCCTTATGGCTCGCTGAATGACTACGGTTGACTTCTTTAAGTTGACAAAGTAATGCCTATCAGCCATAAACGTAACATACATTCCAAACTCTTCCAAGTGCTTCCCCCTAGCTGTATGGTTAGCTTAAATCAGACGAGGTAAAAAGGAACAAGAAACTGAAAAGTACATCTCAGATTAAGTCAGATAATACGAACAAGATAATAATCCTATCCCACCTCTTGCTCTAAGCTCCTTCGTAGGCTTTTTCACCGATAACCAAGCCAATGCGATATTTTGCAAAACTATAGCCGCATTTGTTATTCTCATATAATTCCGGCGTAGTACGAATCGCCTATAATGTGACTGTATTATTGTTGCAGCATTCTCTGAAAACAGCAAAACATTGTCACGATAGTGTGTTAATTGATGACTCCAGACAAACAGGATTTTAAGGAGGATATAAATATGCACAACGAAAGGAAATATTTTAAAAATCAACAATTTCAGAACCATTGAACCGAGCATGTCAACAGGATTTACAAACTCTCTTAATAAACGAGCATGTCATACTTACCACTTTGAACAGAGCTGTCCCTTTTGTCGTTTAAGGAGCGTTGTACAGAAAATGCAGCTGGTTTTGAACTGCACTTGCCATTCTGATGAGCCATGTCTTGCCACCACGACATGATAGCCTTAAAATTTCTAGTAGGATCTGCATTAACAAGGATATTTTACATGAGCAACTAATAAGTAAGAAAATTTCTGGCTATAGTCCATGCTCTTCTAATTGGAAACGTGTCTAGCTAGAAAGCTGAATGATGCGTAGAAAAAGTATAATTCTTCATTTGTCAAGGGTATTGTTACTTGTCAATAATCTTATTTTAAGAGGACGCCATATCGATAGATGTACAAAAAGAGAGAGTTTTCTGTTTGATTGTCAGAATGAGCAAGTTCACCAGTTTATCACTGGTTAAACCTTTTTTTCCCTTAAATCAATGGGCAAGAAAAATTACACCCAAAACAACATACATAGAGCACCACAATTTGAATCAAGCTCTTGCCCTAGAATATATGTCATATGGTATGGGAAATGCTACAATCAACTGTAAAATTAGAAAGATAACACTAAGTAAGACCTTTCTCATTGTTCCACTCTGTACTTAAATGCTGGTTGTTTGGATTCTGGCAACTGAAACCAAGCAATTTATGAAAGTTCAGCTTATCCTGAAAAGAAGACAGAGCGTTAAAAGATTTCCATTAGCTGGGTCACAACATTATGCATAGTATTGTGTTTCGAACATTACCATATTTCTTTTTACAAGTAGTTGAACTGACAGAAATGCCAAGAGGACAATTACACTTTGTCCATTACATGCACCATTGTGTTCTAGAATGTCACTGACTTGTAGAACCTGTAGGTGGCAGTTTCATGCACATTAGTCCAATAAAATTCGAATAAATATCAACTTGACATGCGACAATCTGATATTAGAAACAATTCAATAAATATCCGCACACTGCAGAAGTTTTGAACTAAGAAAAGGTTAACTTGATTAACTTACATGCACCAAAATGCTCAACTGAAAAAAGTTAAGATTTAGTCCTGCTGACTTGGCATGATATTTGTGATTCGTCTATTCGGGCATCTATTAGTGCATACTTATAACGAAAATATTACCTCTGGGAAGTTCCCTAACAAAGATGTTAGCTTTTGAGAAAGTATGAAATTGTGCACTGCATCTGTATACTCGATTGCCGACATGATAGAAATCTCTGTCTTTGTCCCGTCTGGATTCTGCAAAACATAGTATAATAAGCTTGAATCTAATCAAATTACAGAATGGAAAATTGTCAATGAGAAATATAAGAAAATTACCTTAAAAGAACATAAACAATCATGTTCTTTGCGAAAATAATAATCAAGCAAGCACCACATTGCTTTTCCATCCAACAAGGAGGAGTGATTATCAACCTTAAGCTCGTACGTTTCACAAATTGCCTGAGAAATACACTTTATTGTTTAAAAAACGTGTAGGAAATGCAACCCTTAGAAATTTTGTGTGCATCAAAATGTCGGGCGGTTTAGTTGGATGAACACACCTGGATCCAACTAAGCAGCAAATCCAGAAGCATCTGGGTGCTTGTGTTCTCCTGCAATTCAGTGAAGATTCAGATATTAATGAGACTCCAGAAATTGCGATGTATAATAGTTACAAAAGTCCCCACTAAAATACAAGATGAAATATTTGAAACATTTTCATTTAAATGGATACACACAATCTTTTCTGAAACAGACCAAGCAATAACAACAATAGTATAAGTAAATCATACCACCACTGCTGTTCCACGGATATTTGAAATTTCTTCTGCTAAAAGTGTTTTGTTGATTAAGAGGGGCAACTGAAAAAACAAAAAGAGAAAGTGGTAGTCAGCATCAAATGCAAAAATAGAGACTGTCCAAATTATATCTTTACCAATGTGCAAAAAATGATAATCTACCGGTTCAACTTATACAATAAAGAGATTAATGACGACTAAGAAACAAAAATGGATAACAAAAAATCATCAACCCACCTGTAGGTGAACAAACATATTCCAAAGTAAGGAAAGAGTAAGCTCTTTGTCACCATTAACTACATCTTCTGCAATGATTTCTGTTCCATCCTCGTCAAGTAATGGTATACCAGCCTGCTTTAGATATTGCAGTGCAATACCACAATTAACCATACTCTTCTTTTGAGTATCAGATGGAACCACCACTTTCTGTCAAAACCAAAAAAATCAGGAATTGCATCATATTACGCAGAAAAATATAAGACAAACTAATAGACTACTCTTTTTACACCAACCATTAGAATGGAGGCATCATGTTTTAAGAGTGCAATGGCTCTGCATAATCGGACACCATCTCGAAGATCTTCGAATACATCAGTGACTTTGAAGTCATACTCAACCAATGGACTCTGAAAAAAATTACGATTACTAAGTTTAGCAAAGGTAAACAGGATAATTATAATTGTCATCCAAAAAAGTTGGAAAAAAGAACAGAACCTAAAATGAAAATTGTATGAGCTGAACTCTTACTTGCTGGTAAGTTACTTTGTATCCAACAATCACAAGATGCGCTAGAAGATTGCCTTCTCCATGCATTACATCAGAAGATAAAAAATCTAATTTGAGGAAATAGAAAAAAAGGTCAAGCCACATACTGGTAAGAACAACAATAAACAAAAAGTAAACTAGAACAACCATATGTAGAGCAGGAAGAAAGGTGGAATACCAATAATCAGTTGTCGGCTTGATTTAATATTAGATTTTGAAGAAAACAAAGGAGGTGATCCACCGTCCAGTCCGTCAATACCATATTTAAGGGGAATACTTGTCTGAGACTTGGCTCTATCAATTATGATAACAAGCAACAAAAATCTCTTCAATAGGACATTCCCTAACTTCTCATAATAACCTGGCCTGTATAAACCCTCAACCAGCTTGTTATAAGCATGTGCTTTAGCTAAACCAGAGTGTGAAAAAAACTGCTTATCAAGAACCATCCTCAAGAATGCATTTTCTTGCTCATTATTGACATCATCATTTGGCAACAAGGAGTCACCACCAAAGATTATGTATAAGCCGATTCGGAGCCAAATTGGGTTATAGCTCATGAGAATTCTAATGGCTTTCTCCTTCATCCCTACATCACTAACTATAGGACAACTTGCCCTCATTTTCAACCGTCCTTCATCAATGTTCTGGAAAAGAAAGAACAAAAGGCGAAGTTACAAGATGATAACATAAAAAACAGTGAAATCAAAGTGAGGCTTCAAATGGACTAACTCAGATGCATGGCCAGAAAATGTGAATTCTAACATAAGGAAAAAATTGAAAAAGTGCACATTCCAAGTTCTGGAAAACAAAAGTATCCCTCAAACAAGTTACAGTGTACATCATCAACCAATACTGTTGACTTCAAAATGATTACATATAACATTGGATTGGTCACTGTGCATGGCGGACAAAATTTCAACCAACTTAAATCTTCCACCAGAATATAATTCGTTATCAGACATGAAACGACACCTTCAATTTTGCATAGCTGGAAAATTGAAGTGGAGAAATAATGTTATTTAGCTAAATAACACAAAATTGCAACAAGAAAGAGAGAGGACCTTAACAAGGTGACCTAATATACAATTTTAACACAAGGACTTCATCAACTACATGCAGTACCAGCTTGGTCTATTCATAGTGTGGTTAACACATTATTATGTCCAAAAAGGAAAAAATAAAAATAAAAATGATTTTACCAAATGCAGTAATGAGAACTACCTAAAACATATAATTTCCATAAAATCAATCTAAACATATCATCAGATAAGCTCAACCTCCAATAAATTCACATTTCACATCCAGATAAAACGAAAAAATCAAACCTTAGCTACTTGAGTCATTGCTTCGAAAATATCTTTAAAGCTATCCAAGGTCACATACATCCTCATCCTCTCCTTCAAATCCACAAAACTGCATATCTCCTGCAACGAATTCCTCAAACCCGAAAACATTGAATCCGAAAATACATTCTTTCCCAACTCATCATTCCCCATCTCTCTCTGTCTCTTCGGGCCTCTCCACGGCCCGTCAACTCCCACCCTACGGCCCGACCCGCCCTCCCTCTTCCCATAATTACCAAACACTTCCTTCGCCCCATCACCTAATCTCAAATCGGAAGCAACAATTTCTCCGGTAAAGTTCGCCGGATCGCAGCCACACGAACTAGGGTTTTCCAACAGGAAATTGAGCCACACGGTGAGCGATCTCGCAAGCGACTTGAGCGATTTTTCCTTCTCGGACTGAGCCTTCCGCGCCGACTTGGACTGCTCGAGCTCAAAGGCCTTCAATCTACGGGCCGCCTTAGATTTCAGAGCGGAGGTCTTGCAGCCGCGCCGCAGAGACGACTGTGGGGTGTTCTTACTGGCGGTGAAGAACTGGGGAGAGCTCTGGAAACATGGAGTTCTGGATGGATGTTTGGGGGTTTTGAAATTCGAAATGTCTCTGAAGATCGAAGATGGTGGTGGATTCGGATTTTGCAGTGGAGAAGAAGGAGGGTGAGAATTTAAATTGGGCTTCCGTTTTCTCGACTCCATTGTTTGAATCTCCTTTGAATTTTTTTCGTATGTGATTTTGTAGGAGCGTTTGTCTGAAAGAGGAAGGGAATTGAATATTTTTGAACTTTTTTACCGTTTCGGTTTTGAATTTGGATGCCGACGGAATGGCGGTTCACCGATCGGAATTGTCAATATGACTGAATTACCCTTGGTAGATTCTTCTTGGTTTTATGCTTCTCTTTGGGTCTTTCGCCCTTTTTCGTAATTTGGGACCACGGCCCCAATCTTTTACTTGCGTCTTGCTACTGTAAAGCATAACGATTCTTCTTTGTGGGCATAGCAATTATGGTAAATTAAATATTATACTATTGGACTAACTCATTATCTTAGTGTTTGTTTTCTCGTTTAATTTATATTACGAGTGGACGCATTATGAAGTCTATAAATATTAATTCACATTGCTAGTCTTCACTACGGATTCTAGAAGAGAAAAGCGAGAGCATTCGAAGAGAAGACGGTTTTTTTTTTTTGAGTTATTTATATGTCTCTTTTAGAGTTTGTTGTAAGTATTCATCGTAAATGCATAGTTTGTAAGTCTAGAGATCTGTTAGTTTATAATTATATTGAAGAAACTAGACTTGATTGTACGAAACGTTCATAATAGGGAAAATCATTTACTTCATTTGTTTATTCTTGTAATATTATTTATATAATTATTTCAGTTCTACGTTAAATGTTATTACATTTCACAAAACATCTCCGTTTTGAGTATTAACTACGAATATGTGGCCATTGATTATTTCAATTAAGTAGTATTTGTACTTAGAATTATACCGATAGGTAAGTCGTTTATCAATTGAGCCTAAAATAATTGGGTTTTTCCTCCAACTTGTTGATCTGATCATAGCCTGAATCAATAATATCGGGTTCGGACATAAGATTATATTTTTGAGAATTGATAATATTCTTTCTCATAATACTTTATATAATTGTACAAATCGATTAATGATGTATTAGATAATTAAAATAAATTAAATAACATATTAATGTATGTAAAATAATTTG